GCGATTCATATACAGAGTTTGAAGAGATATCCAATGCACGACAAATTATACTTGCGTTGATTAGTATTCATCAATACCGAACTGTTAATCGCGAATACGTAAAACACTTTCACACATTTTTTTCGCAAAGAACGATATACGAAATGCAATATTTCGCGCCTCGCGTTTCACTCATGCAGCCATCTTTCTTTGCTGTTTAGTATCGCCATCTGCATTCGCGTTAAACGCCAGAATTACGTAGTCCAGATACTTCGACTGCCGGTAAAGTCATCATTTTGTGCATGTCGGTAAATTGTTAGAATCGCGTCGCGCAAGCATGATTTTTTTATTTGTAACATAACAAAATATGTAATTAAAAATTCATGTAAAACATGTGTTTTTAATCAAATTACATATACTTATTCCGTTACTCTAATACTTGTACGTTAACAGATTTAAGTTACACACATTGCATAAAGCTTCCAAAGAAAAATATCCAGAGGCACAAATATTTTATTATTTAAACGAAAACCATGCGAAGATGAAACAATAGATTAAAGAAGCCGTATAATCATTGTACTTTTATGTATAAACGTTTCACAAAATAAAATCTTTATAAATGAAGTGTTACATTAAAAATATTAGTATAAAATTAAATATCCATGTGAGATTTAAAATTTCTTGTCCTTTTTTTTCTTTAGAATTTTTTTATTTTTTTTTCTAAAGATTCTTTAAGCGAGAACTGCTTCTTTCACAAGACTATTGAACAATTTGAATATTTGATATTTTTTTAGTAGTTTAAATTTCGTGAAAAAATTCGAGAGAAAATTAGATTTTACCGTATTACTGCACATATCGATTAAATGCTATATCAAATATGTAGTGTAAATATTTTAATTTTCTTGTATACGATTTATTTTTTATTCTATCGATGTTTTCATAGTGATGCACCTTGAGCACTTTGCTTCATATGTTTGCACTAAAAATATATTAAAGCAAATTATTTTGCAAATTTATTATTCTAATTTTTATTTAGAAAGACTAAGATTAAAAAAGACGTATGAATTTTTTCAGATATTTCTATTGAAAAAAACGCATCAGATAAAACTGACTTTCCTGTACATTTTAAATGTGCAAAAAGATTTGCTCTTTATTCCACTTACTGCAATAATGTACACTAAAAATGACAGATCTATATTAAAAATGATAGATCTATATTTAGTAGTTGGAAAGAAAGAGAGAAGAAAAGTGCATCTAGAGAATTTAAAAGAATAAAAAACAAATCTAAAAATAATAATACATAAAGATTAATATTATGTATTTTTTTCATGAGGAATGTGAGGCGCACATTTATGTATTTATTTATTTAGATGAGATTTACTTTAGAACACATTCAGTATTCAACTTTAATTTTATTTTCTCTTTCTTATGATATATAAGTATAACATAATTACTTGCAAATGCTATCATTTTTGTGTGCTTACAGTGATACAGAAACAACATTACGAGTACTATATTTACAGATAACATCTGTATAATAAAAAAAGCACCAGTCTAATGGTGAAAAAAGGGTAAATATTGTAGACCAGCATAAATATCAACCAATTATTTCACCGCTCTGTTTCATTAGAGTTGCAATTTTCTTTTATAATATCATAAATATTATAAATAAGATAGAGATTTCCATACGTTTCAAATAAATTTATATATTTTATGTATGTAATACTGCGCACACATATTAAAAGGTGATAATATCGCAGTTATAATAAGATACAATCCTGGCAATGTAGCGATTTTTGGATTCTGAAAATAATTTAATTTGATTTATTTTTGAGAAATGCGCACAATACTTTAGAACAAATTATTTTTGTGCCATGTATTACCTGTGTAAAATTCCACAAACAGTATCATATTGTCTGCGATATATAAAAAGCTTCATCGATGAAATAAATGGTTGAATATGATTGAGATATAAGAAAGTACTTGTAATGTAGTAATATAGTACTTGTAATGAATAACGTTAATGTGGAATACATAAATATTTTATATTTTAATTTCATGTAATCGAGATGAGATAAGACACTCATGATTACTTTAAAAATGTGTCCACAAATATCATGTAACTTCAATAGCTGCACATTCGTCAAATTAATCCTATTACGTTAAATGAATCACAGCAGCTTGTTTTAATTTAATCTAACCTAACCAATTATATTATATGCTCCTCATTAAAATGTGTAAAACTGTACGTCGCACATTTAATGCGATTAATATACTACGTAATAAAATGTAATACACTAATGAAATAATTAAATATTATTTTTGAAAGCATGATACAATCCAGGCAGCATACGCTTGTATTTACATTCGATATCCAAAGACACTGAGAGATTAGGTTGGGTTGGGTTAGATTAGATCAAACAAATTTATCGTTTAACAGTTGGCAGCCCTACAAGATAGGCTGTGCAGCACTGCGCGTATATAAAATAAATTTGAAATCGCTTCTAGCATAACCATCTTCACGCGATCGACTTTATTTGAATTGCACGGCATCGCATCGAATTATGATGCGGCGCCGATTTGTTTGAACGTAATTCGGGACATCGCGATGCTGTATAAGCGTCGAATGAGCACGAATTGTCACGCAAATATGATAATAAATCACATCTACTCACCGTTCACCGGCTGTTCCACAGGCCGCTGTTCCACAGGCCATTCGCTCGCCTCGGGACGTCCCATTCCGATCTTGATGCACACGATATCATCAACGCGAACGCGCGACACTTTATTTGGCATTCCCGATATTCGCTCGCATCCGATAATCATCATCAAGGGCGCAAATAACGCGACGTGACTTCGTTCCATCTTCGCGATGACGCCATCACTGAATATCGTCAAAAATCGCTGTCGCGCGTTTTCATCGACACACTATGAAAGTCGCGCGATCATCCTTGGACACTTTCGACGCTCGTTCACTCACGATATTCGTTTAAAAACGGTTAAAAGACGCGAAAAATGCGGACGTTCGACGATCCGTGTAACTGCGTATGACTCCGAGTCACGTATGACGCGTATGACGTAGCTATGACGCGCCAACATGGCGGCCGAACCACTGCGCATTCGTTTCTGCACATGACCATTCCTGCGCGCAACGTTCGCACAACTTTGATTTCTGAAATATTGTTTACGGCTTTAATTAATATTGGTTACGGCTTTAATTAATAGCACATAATGATAAATATATAAAGATGGAATCAATTAATCATATTGGTCATATATGTAGACTTGCCTGAAGAAAGAGAGTTGTTCTCGATGTTCACTTTTAAAGGAATAAAGAGAATTATATATAAATGTAAATAAATTATCCGAAGACAGAAAAAATTGAAAGATATTTTTAATTTTTTAATAAAAAATGGAAATGTCTATTCATAGACTTGTTCTTCTTTTCCTCTTTTGTGCAATTTCGATTCAATATATAACGTAGAAAATTCATAGTATATTGCATTTATTTTTATATATTCACAACTATAATATTCGCACGATCATTTTTTGACATTTACAATACTCATGTGCCTTGTTCTCGATGTTCACTTTTAAAGGAATAAAGAGAATTATATATAAATGTAAATAAATTGTCCAAAGAGAGAAAAAATTGAGGGATATTTTTAGTTTTTTAGTAAAGGTTGGAAATGTCTATTCATGATAGAAATGCAAAGAAAGAAAATTATTATGTTTAAAATAATAATTTTATATGAAATACAACATTAAAAGTTACATTGTAGAACTTGACTTTCTAAAAGCGTAATAAAACAATCAAATAGTAGACAGAGAAAAGACTAATTGTAAAAGAAAAAAAGTTATTAACTTAACTAAACCATTTAACTAAATTATTACCTTTTTAACTGGAATATTTAACTATTATAAATCTAACATGACATTTATTTAACTTAAATATTTCAATATTTTAATTTAAAAAATAATAATTTAGTTAAACGGTTTAGTTGAGTTAACAAAAACTTTTTTTTCTCAATGAACGTGTGTGTGTGAGACTTTAAAAATATACTTGGATATAAATACATTTATATTATTAAACGATTAATACATCTCGTGAGGTTTAATAAATAATTAATCTGTGTACACTGAGAAAAAAAGTTGTTAACTTAACTAAACCATTTAACTAAATTATTGCCTTTTTAATTGGAATATTTAACTATTATAAATCTAACATGACATTTATTTAACTTGATTATTTCAATATTTCAATTAAAAAAATAATAATTTAGTTAAACGGTTTAGTCGAGTTAACAACTTTTTTCTCAGTGTACGTGTGTGTGTGTGTGTGTGTGTGTGTGTGTGTGGGTGCGTGCGTGCGTGCGTGCGTGCGTGCGTGCGTGCGTGCGTGCGTGTGCGCGCGCGCGCGCGCGTGTGTGTGTGTGTGTGTGTGTGTGTGTGTGTGTGACTTTAAAAATATACTTGTATATAAATACAATTCTCACATACGTCACAGTACGCGTTAAATATTTCGGCAGCGAGCTAACACGTCATTCGACCTTGTGACGTCATTTGGTCTTGTGACGTAGCGCGCTATTGTTTATATACGCGACGACCTCCCCTCATTCGCACGGCGACATTCCAACGGAGAAAGTAGCGATACGGACCGCTCCGTATTATCGAATTCTTTTCCTAAAGGTACGATCGCGATTAGATCGAAATATAATAATTCGACTATTACAAATGACAATTAATTAACTCTTATAATAAATGCAATTGTGGCGACGATAAATTCATCGAAACGCGATCTTTCATTATTGCAAATAAAAATTGAAGCGAAAGGGGCAAAAATTACAAATTTTCTCACAATATTCTCCGATTATCGAACTTTACGAATAATAATTATTTCTTTAACATTGCATAGAATTGCATGAAATTCGATTTCGCCCGATGTTTTAAACTTTCCTAAACTGCATGCATATATATCATATTAATTAAACGATTGCTGTATCATCAATTTACATTACTTTAATATTTTAATCTTATGATTCGCGTTATTATGCATATATTATACATCAACAAATAGAAATAGTTAATTAGTGTAAGAATCGAGTGGTGCATGATTTTGGCTTCGTTTAAAAATCGAGCGAATTATTGTAATTTTTGTGTTCCTCTCTTGCAATAATAATAAAATAATAATAATATTATAAAAATACGTATCTCGTATGATTATTTTGCGATCGGGAGTGCCCTGCAAAGTGGAGATCGTTTCTGTATATGACTGAAATATAATTAACTGAAATATAATTGTTTGTTCGCGAGTGAATACGTGACTGCTACGAGGAAACAACAAAGGATGAAACAACAAAAGAGAAGGACATCTGGAAAAGTATCGGACAGAAAGCAGGGAGAGAGGCTGAAGCAGCCACAGAGACATGCGGTGAATAATTTATAAAAATTATTTATTATTTATTATTTATTATTTATATACACTATTTTTAAAATAGATATATTGCTTATTATTTTATTATCGTTTTATTTTTCGATCATTTAAATATATAATTCGGATTGAAATGCAGTAAAACAATCGAATCGTAGATCTAAATAATCAACTTAACAAAAAGATCCATAAAAGATATATTAGTTCTTTTAATAAATAATATCGTATAATTAATCTATATAAAAATGAAATATTATCTATTTATTTCTAAATATTAAATACTATAAATTTAATAGTTATATATTTTGTAAAATTTAATTAAAAGAATCTTTAAGATTTCCAAAAGAAACGAAGAACTTTTCTCAACGTAGAAAAAGTTAATTATAAACAAATTTATATTTAATTATTATAATTAATTTGTATTTAATTTTATTGGAATTTTATTATTAATTTTATTGCATTGTCAAACTCTACGCGATCTCTGTAATGATAGCTATTCACGAAATAGGTACAGTGAAATAATCAATTATTATCGAAAGGAGGCAATAATATACTTTTAAATCTAATTTAAACTTTTGATAAACGATATAAAATTTTTTTATTATGATGAGAAATCTTTATTAAAGATCACAATTGCAAATAAAAATGGAAATAACTTCACAAAGTATATTAATCGTTTAATAAATAATTAATCTGTGTGTACGCGTACGTGTGTGTGTGAGTGTGTGTGTGACTTTAAAGATGTGTGTTTAATAAATAATTAATCCGTGTGTACGTGTACGTGTACGTGTGTGTGTGTGTGTGTGTGTGTGTGTGTGTGTGTGTGTGTGTATGTGTGTGACTAAAGATATACTTGTATATAAATACACTTGTATATAACATTAAAAATATATATTTCCGTTATGTTTTATCCGATGTAATTATCCGTTTTTTATTCGATCGTTTTATTGCGCGTTCTGAATCAAATTATATTTAGATCAAATGATATCAGAGAGAATATTTATTTATTATATTAGAATTCTAAATGTGTGTGTGTGTGTACACATATATATTAGGATAGAAACGAAATAAAAATAGAAGAATAATCATTGTTCGTAAAGATTGCAACAAAGTAATAATTTATAATTTTGATTCCTATCGATATAATTGAGTATCGTATTTCGAGAGCAATCAACTATTTATTAATAATAAAATTGTATATAACTTATGAATATATTCCACTTATTCCGGACGTTAATATCGCGACAACGACGAATAAACTTTTCAAAAAAGTTCAATTCAACTATTTCATATATGAGACAGTTCTACCAATCACTGATACAAAAAACTCGTCAATTGACCAGTTGGTGAAACTGTTTCAGTCCTGAGTATTTTCTTAAAAGAGCTGTTGGCGCACATACATACGTGTATTGTTTACGCGTGTCACGCGTTCGAACGAACCTTGACATTCTCGCGGGTAAAGTCACTAGATTAAGCCCCAAAAATGGCGTCCGATAGTGCAGATAGTGCACACTTCGTGTAGCTATATATACTAAGTGCAATTTTTTTAACCTTGATCCTGGTTTGTCCTGTGTCCTGTTGTGTGTGAGGTGAGAAAACTCCTTCTGTTGCGCAGAAAAAGAAGAAAATATCAAAAATGTCAGGTTGTTGCGTGGAGAAATGCAACAATCGCAGCCTATATCTATACTATCGGACGCCATTTTTGCTCTAGCTTATCTGATTGAAATCAAAATTGCGGTACTTTGTTAATCTAGTGACTTTACCTACGACTTACGCCTTGCGACATTGAAGCGTCATCTACAATGGCAGTAGATTTAATGGATTAAAGCTGTAACTCGAGAAATTGACCAATCGATCAATCACAATCGAGTATTCTCTTAATGCTTGACTGTGATTGGCCAATTCCTTAAGTTACAACTTTAATCCATTAATTTTACTGCCATTGTAGATGATGTGAAAGGCCATTCTACAATGGCCGTAGTATAAGATTGTAAGGCCCTAGTCGTAAGAAATTGACCAATCACAGTTGATTATTCTTCTGAACTTCAACTGGGATTGGTCAATTTCTTACGACTACGGCCTTACAATCTTATGCTACGGCCATTGTAGAATAGCCTTTACGATACGACCAATGTAGATCCGGCTTAATATACTATATATTGTGCGCATGCGTCTAAAAATTCATGATCCAAGATTGCTGATTATTGCGTGCACATACGTTCAGTGGGGTTATGTGTTTCATTAAAAATGATTAGATTTCATACTTAAATAATATATACACGTATTCAAGTAAAACTTATTTAACTTATTTTCTGACAAACGCTTTTGACACGATAACAAAAAAAATCGAACGAATGAGGTCTAAAATAATCTCATGTGTATACCATGTGAATCATACATTGCTATCTCTTTTTATAAAAAAACGTAATTTACAGCAAAACTGTTATAAGTATTACGGAGTCATGCCGCGCTCCTCTACGCACGTGCTCAATATGCAATTAACAAGGGAAAAACTTAAAAAGAAATCTGTAAAATATCTTGGCAATGTAAACGTATCACTACAAGTTAGTATACTGTGACGAATGATATAATAAAAAATATTCCAAAAATTTCTTGGACTCTATTAAATAAAAGTATATTTTTCCTTAAGTTATAATTCAATATTAATATTAATTAATATATGAATTTATTTGTAGATTCTAGGCAGCGGGGCTCGTGGTGCCCCAAGATGTGTTTACTTAACAGCAGGTCATATTAGTTATATTTTTAATTGCGGGGAGGGAACACAGAGGTTAGCATATGAACATAAATACAAATTAATAAAATTGGAACATATATTTGTAACATCAACATCGTGGAATAACTTAGGTGGCATGCCAGGAATGCTTTTAACAATACAAGAAGCTGGAGTGCCAAAAATTGATGTACATGGCCCTAAAGGGACTGTAGAATTATTTGATGCAGTCAAGAAATTTGTGATGTTACAAGCTCTGAAGATTCAGGAAGCAAAATGTGACGAATCAGAGCCATATACAGATTCAGTAATGTCTGTATCATATGTTCCTATTACTAAATCAAGTGTACAAGAAAAAGAGTCTATAGATAATATAGGAGAAGAAAAGATTGATAATATTAATTATTATAACTATACGATCAATTCTAATGGCAAACGAGTATTTGATAACAGAGTAGAAAAAGAGAAAAAAACACAGAAAGTTGAAGAAAAGTCTGAGAAGACAAGGATATCGAGTGCAATGTCCTATATTTGTAGATTGCACCCTCGAGCAGGCACATTATCCTTGGAGAAGTGTGTAGAGAAAGGTGTACAACCTGGCCCTTTATTTGGTCAACTCAAAGCTGGCAAAGATATTACTCTTCCTGATGGTACAGTCGTTCTCAGTAAAGATGTCTGCTCTCCAACAACGCCAGGCCCTGTTTTCTTAAGTATGTTGACAAACGGTTTTAAAATGATTTATAAATAGTTAGATGATTATGTTAAACATTAATTTCTTATTTTTTTTTAAGTTTTATTTATGCATAGTTGTAGAATGCCCATTGGAAGATTATTTGGAATCCTTTGTAAATCACCCTGCTTTTGTGCAACATCAAGCAACAGCAACAATGTCTAACGAAAATGATAGGCCATATTGCATTATTCATTTCACACCTCAGAGAGTGATAGATGATCCTCGTTACATAGACTGGATGAACAAATTTGATAGCAACACGCGTCACATAGTCGTGAATGAGGACAATGAGTGCATGGGTACTGAAGCGATTCACAGGCATCAGCACAAACTTCATATGTTGCACTCTGAAATATTTCCTTTTTTAAACGAAAAAAGTTTTCAAAAAAAAACACGGGTAAGATATGTGAGATATCTCAAAGTTGTTTGTCTTAATCTCAAATGTATCGCAATATTTTTTCATTGCCATAAATACAAATTTTTTTCTTTCAGGCGAACGATTTGCCCCTCATACATCGTCCCAGAACAAATCATACTATTCACTTACAACCAGAAATAAAATATGATACGATGAATGAAGTATCATTGCATCCAGAAGAATATATAAAGGAGGTTTATGAAATCGAAGGTTTTTCCGAAATGTTGAAAGATCTGCAAACAAACATAAACATCGAAAAAGAAAGATTATCTATTGGAAAGGAATATCCAAAGATCATTATGTTGGGCACTGGTTCTAGCATTCCAAGTAAAGTCAGAAATACGAGCGGTATACTCCTAAGAATGGATCAAAATCACAGTATGTTGCTAGATTGTGGTGAGGGCACGTTCGGACAAATCGCGAAAATCTATGGAAAATATAAGATGGATAAAATCATAAAAACAATCAAGGTATACTAATGCTTCTATATATTTCATAATTTTGCAATGATGGCTTTTATAACACTTGCACGAATTATATTTCAGGCGGTGTACATATCACATCCACATGCTGATCATCATATTGGATTGATTGGTTTTCTGAAAGAAAGGAAAAAGATCACGCAAGATCCTTTGTATCTATTCGCGCCGACATATATTGCTATGTGGTTACGATTATATCATATGCGCTTCGAACCTATTTTGCATCAAATGACACTAATTCCGAACAACGAATTCTTCATGGATGTACATGAACCAACGGAGCACAAATACAAAAGTATGTACAAAACATTAAATGTGCAAGCCGTGAAAACGACATATGTCAAGCATTGTGCTCATTCTTTCGGTATTTCTGTAACACTCAATAATGGAAAAAAAATAGTGTACAGGTATGTTTTTTATAAACTTTTCCATATACAATACATTAACTTCAATTCAACTACACATAATGAATCTTTGATCTATTTTTAATTTTAATTTAATTTGGAATAGGTTTCTTTATCATTACTTTTTATCTTAATGTGATATGTGAATTATGACAATGTTAAATTTTCAGTGGTGATACTATGCCATGTGAGAATCTCGTGAAACTCGGTCAAGACTGCGATTTACTGATTCACGAAGCGACAATGGAAGATGATTTAGCAAAAGAAGCGAAGATGAAGTTACATTCGACTACCTCGCAAGCCATACGGGCAGGTGAACAAATGCGATCGAAATTCACGCTATTAACGCATTTCAGTCAACGTTATTCAGTGATACCTCCCTTGCCGAATGATGACAATGGCTCTAAATTAAACAATGTAGGTATTGCGTATGATAATATGCACATTAGTTTGTCACAATTGCCGCTTTTGCCTTTGATGTATCCGACATTAAAATTGATGTTCATTAAACACTACATGGAAGTGGAAGAACGAGCTGCTAGACGTCGAATAGCAATGAACTTATAATAAATATTTTATGCGATAACACGCGAAAAAATTAAGATCATAATTAACACTTTTGTTTTATTGGCATTCAATATAATATTCTCTGTTGCTGAAAGTTCAATCAAGTCTAACAAATGTTAAATAATATGTATAGCAATGGAGAAATCAAATGAAAATGTTACCTGCACTCTTTTAATTTTTAACATATAAAATAAACTTTTCAAACTAAGATCTGTAGATAAAAAAATGATGCCATTAATATATTTCTTATATTTTCATGAAAGAGAAAATCAATCAGAGAAATCTATCATAGAAAATCTGTTACTAAAGTTGAGTACAATAGATATAATAGTAAATTCTTTACATCATTCTGTATATAGTTCGATAATATATACGATATTTGGGAAAAGAATTACGTCTGATTGAATAAACAATTCAACTCAGCCAAAACTCTGATCAATAAAAAATTTTTTATTATATCCTTTAATTTATTACATCCATTATTCTTAATGCATTTCTACCGTGAAAAAGTAGTAAAAGAGATTGCCGCTTACATAAGTATATAAAGAAGTAGTGTATGTGTATGTGTGTGTGTACGCGCGCGGGCACACAATAATAGTCATCGTGATGGATCAAGACATATATTTCATTGACACATCTTATTCAAAGATATAGAATACTCAACGATCACGGTTTTCATACATTTCGCGCCATAAATACGCGTTCCGTTCTCGTAATATATAAAATTAAGTGGTGCGAGGCGTAGATAATATATTATGATTATAAAACAACAATGTTGAAGAGGCAAACGTATATTTACACGAGATTGATTTCAATGTCTTTCGAAATAATCTATCTGACATATCTATTCTCGTATTTTTCATACAATCCTATTCGATATAGTACTATATAGGAATTTCGTAAAACATGAAACATATAACATTGGCGATCCTCTGCCAATTTGTTATGAAAAGTGAAGAAGATTAAGTCTATCTTACTGCTAAAAACGCGTGATATCCATCGAAGTGTATCGTTCTCAATAAACGTAAAAAAAAAGCGAAGAAAAACGCGAATCTGTATACTACTGTAAATCTTTCCATCACCAAGCCTTAGTTTGGCCTTATTTAATATACGCGGTAGGCTAGTAATAGGTGTGTGAAGCATACGAAGAGAATATAGCAAAACTCTTCTGTGTGCGTTTTATTAAATGCATTTTGCCTAACTTACGATCGTAACGGATGTATCTTGGTAATTAAAACTGTATAAAATATGAAATATTGAATCGATAAAGCGGCAGTGGTCGTGAATATTGGTCAACTTGTTGGATTTGGCTCTCTTTCGAATGTATCTATTTAAAAGATAAATTTGTATTCATTTAAATAATTCGCTTAATTAATAAAATGTATTCATAACTAGTAAAAAACTTGATACCACGCTACGAGCATAAAGAAAAATCTATATATTTTCTTTTTTTTTTTCTTTTTTTCACATTAATGATTTACATCACTTTTCTTATTACAAAATATATTAATATAAAATAAGTTAATATAATAACAATCATTAATTTTTTTATAATAAAACAAAAATTATATGTAATAAAAAATCAGTTACAAATAATACACAAGAAAGATATAATATTGAGCTCGCAACGTGGCAAGTTACCTACAATATACAGATATAAAAGTTTGTGTATTATATAGAAAATAGACCCTAGACAGTTATAAAAGTATTCAAGCCGGTCTTACACTTTTGGAGAAATCGTTTATCGCATCAGTCTTGAATATATTGAGGAAATATTTTACTAAGATTTGAAATAATAAAATTGTATATTGAGATATTGTTAACTTTATGCTGATTGCTCGACGCGGTATGCTCGATTAATTAAGTACGCCACAGGGGAATTAACCCAAACTGCGAATCTTTTGTTATTCGAAGGGATACGGTACTGTGCGAGTTACGACCAAAGCTGAGGAGGCAGTGGAGTACAAATCTTGCTCGTTGCACGTTTTTTATGTTATATATATATTGCCCACATTAGAACTCCCACTTCGTAGCGGACTCGTAGTCCGACTCGCCTAAACGCAACGCGCCGTTCTTGCCCGCGGTGAGGTACCGGCCGTCCACGCACTTGATGCAGATCCGTGACGGCTCACGCAGCTCCAGATAAAATCCATCGGATGGCATGTCCGAATCTACGGTAACTCCTTCGCTATCCGCATGCCAGTATCTCCCGTTTTGTCCTATTTATTATGATGAATAAATAAACGATGGATAAAATCAAATCAAGTAATCTGGAGACAAATGTAACAATATCTTATTCTTTTCATATAATATGCGATAAACTAATAGTTATATTATTTATATTATATTATGGAATATGTTTAAAATTTATAATTTAGTCACCAAGAAAAATGATTAACTCAATTTGATGGTTAATGTGAAAATTAAATGGATTATATGAAAGGAAATTACCTTTAAATCTGATCACGCCGCGTTCGCACCGCTCGACACGTATCGTCTCGTAGATGGCCTTGTTGCACTCAAGCTTGGTACTGGCCGCGCTTTTGGGTCCGACGAAGCCCTGTTCGCATCGCAACACCAGCACAGGTCGATTCATCAGGTAAAAGTAGTACTTGGCAGCATCGGAATCATTGCCATTCAACGAGTCGGCGTTCGCGTAGAGGTGACCGGATCGCTTGGTCGCTAGGAACTTGCCGTTGTTTGCGCGCAACGCGACCGTACCGTCATTTGATTGCCATGCCAAATCGAAGAGTGCATTCGACGAGCGCTTGTGATCGGATGCCTGGATACCACCACCGGCTTCCAGGCTCCAGTAACGATCCTGCATCGTTCGTACATACCATCGTTTCGTCACTCGATCAAACTCTAACTGGAATGTCTCATGGCCAGAGATTTCATCTTGATTGGCCGTCACGTCGACGCCTAACCAGAATCGAAATATCAATTTCTGATTAGTAATCTGAATCTATATTTTTATGACAACGAGAGATTGCATTAGAAAAGTCTACCTTGCTTCACGGAAACGTATCGTTGATTTAACGCCGCGACGAATGACGCCTGCGGTAGAGATTCTTCTAAAGAGAAAAGCTCGTCGCGTGTAACGGTCGTTGATCTTGATTTTAAAACGGCCTTACTTCCAATGGGTGCCAAGTATGCGCCATGAATATCTCTGTGAGAGATATTAAAATGTTTAATCGACACCATCTTGTATAAATAATTGTATCTCATTACATATGCAGGCAATTAAACAGAAGGCTCAACGAAATGATTGCTAATTAACATTAAGACAGCTTTATATACATACCGAAGCGCGAGAAGACCGGCGTGAAATTCCGCAGCGTATAAACAGTCTCGCGTGCAAGCGTCCAACAATTTACCGTCACGTGCGAGATATTTATTATTGCATGTATGTAGCGCGTAATGACCACCTTCAGACTTAGCACGATCCTTGTGACTATCGTCGTCGCTCATGGTCGCTGGACGAAATTCCAACGTGAATAGAGTATCCTCACCCCAGGGCACCGGCGCGTCCACATGAATCTCATCTTGAGTTGCGCTCAAATGCGCAAAACGTTTCCTTCCGGCCGATCGAAGATTCACCTAGTCGATTAAGATTAGTATTAAAATTAATATTATATATATATATATATATATATATATATATATATATAATTACAAATTATTAAAATCTACAGAGTGATATAAAAATTTTTTAGGAACAATCTTTCTTAAATTTTAATTTTAAAAACAATCATTTCGAAATATGTAGAAAAAAATTTTATAAGAATTTATATGATTATTTTTATCTGCCCTACATATCCACAAAAGATTGTTCATCTTTATCGAAACATCCTGTATATATTCTTCAAATTATTGAAAAATGTTTTTCAATAATTTTCAAGTTAGATAAAACAATTTAAAGGTATCCATGCAATACAGTATAATCATAGCACAACAAAGCAATGTCGTAATGACTTGAGACTGTTTAATTAGTTGGTTGAGAAAATAATATATAATTAGAGAAGAATTGTGTATAATACATAGCGCAACGACTAGATTAGGTAAACGGAACCATAGTTTCGTAAACACTTTGTTTGCAAGACTTGAAAATGCAACAGGTATTTTTAAGTTGTACCTGCGGTCTGGCGGCAAGATGTACGAGCCAGTATTCCGCCTCGCCTGGAGCTTTAGCGGTACACTTCAATTCATCTTGGCTCGAGCCTAAGAAATAGCCTCTCTGAATATTCTTCAGCGCCCATCGTCCACTGCCTGGAATTTATCATGGTTGCCGTGAAGAATCGCCAAAATATACATATACATGTAAATTTTAATCATTCGTTACAAAGCCTTGATTTTAAGTTAAATATGGATGCTTAGAATATGACTGTCCGATAAATAGTGCAAAAAATAAAAACAGCTATTACGATGTTTCTCTAGTTATAAGTTTATATAGTTTATTTCTAGATGCATATATAACTACAATATATGTAAAATTGATTCTCATATCGAGACATCCGAAATGTTTCGTCATCCGCTCTGTTATGTCTGATAACATATGTATTATCTTTGATTTAATAATGAATGTTTCGTCATCCGCTCTGTTATGTTTGAGAATATATGTGTAATTTATAATTTGATGAAAAACAAGTTAAATAAGACAATTTTAATATATTATAAGTGATTGATGATTTGTAAAAAGGATTGTAAAAGCTCTCTCATGTATACCATCAGAAGCGAGTTGTATTTGAAAAGCACATCCTGGATCCGATGAGTCCTCGCTTTCGCATGTAACGTTACCAAACTGGTCGACCGCTAAGTATCGATCCAAGTGCGAGCGAAGGAAAACCTGATGCTCGCTGCCCTCCAGAGTCCATAATTGCTTCTTCTTCAAACTCGAACCATTGGCGTTGATCTTGAAACCGAATGTCTCCGCCGTTAGATACTTAAACTTCCCGTTTATCAATCCAACCTGAGAAAAATCGTATCAATTGTAATATAATTCGCTAATTTTATTTCCGCCAAATAAATGGTTTAAAAAATTGATTAAATTTATTAAATATAATTAATAGCAATCCAAATAATAACATCATTTTTCTATCGTTATAATCAAGAATATTTAATGATTAATATCTAATGTGACAATTTCAAAAATGAAGAAATATAAATTAGATATCTAATTAATATAAATTAGATTTAATGATCCAAGTTTTTCAGCAATGCCACTAATGTATTCTCACACAGTTTCGACAAATTAGATAGTTATATCAAGCTAATTTGTATCTAATTAATTAGTATACATACTGTCCATCCCGATTTATCGACACCGTTCTCAGATCCTATATTCTCCGAACCGTTGCTCTGCATCGTAATGACGTAGCTGGACGAACTCGGTCGCTCTTACTCGAGTTACAAAATTAAAATAATTTCTCAACGTCTGAAACAAGCACACATACACTAATTATAAAATGATCATTAAAGGTGTCATTAAATCCGCTTATCTCGAGTTATAGTCAAATATAATTATCTCAAGTAAATAATTGTAAAGCAGTAAAGAAAATTTTTTAAGCTCTTATCATTACACTATAACAACCTTCAATTATATTATCAATTAGAAAAGTGTCAAAGGAGAAATTTCACAAAATTTACATTATTTATATTTTATAAATTCCTCATTGATCTTATAATTGAATATTTAATACAGACAAAATAATTAGACTTAAAATAATTATTTTACATTGCGTTGGATATCTGTTTTCATATTTTACGTATGTATTTAATTAAAGCTTAATTATTAGGCCAATTACATTCATTCCTTCCTCTCATAAAATAAACTTCACTATCTATCGAATATCTTTCCGCAATCTCTGTACAAATTATTTTGAAATGATATACATATGTTATATTAATCGTGACGAGATACATGAACGTTATTATAAGTCACATTTGGTGGGGAAAGCACCGAAGAGCATGGGAGGCTTTATGTGCGCCGATTGAGAAATCCGCCACTGCGCGTATTGATCCTCGAGAGAGAGAGAGAGTTTCATCCCAACGCTATCGCCAGCAAACGTCTACTAACGCGAGACAAAACACCGCTATTATTTGCCGGATAAGCGCTCCCTTCCGCGCTTCTCGCTTTATTTATACACGTCTCATCCCATTGTGATTTCGCCTGTTTTAAGCCACGTTGACCATAATTTTATTTCTTCTTTTAATAATCCCAATTATAACAGTTATTGTTAATGTCGAAATTATAATATCGAAAAACACATTCTGTTTTTTACCACTATGATATTATGTATAGTAAAAAATTATTAGAAAAGAAAAAAAGAGAGAAAAGATCGTCGATGACATTGTCCTCTGTAAATTCTTGTTTCCCGTAAATAAAAGAATTTTCGAGATTTAAAATAAATCAACAAATTTAAATAAATTAATTTTAATAAACTGAATAATTTTAACAAACAGTAGACAAAAAACTTTACTTCATTAAAATGTATGAGAATTAATTGCGAAAGATTTCGATCTCTAGACATTGCGTGTAATTTATTTATAGCATCTTATATCAACGATGGGATAAAATTGCATATGCAAATCTGCTTCACTTTATTAGAATTCATATCTTGGCCTATTTATACATCTATAATCAATCTTATACATATTTTTAGAATCTCTCACCGATCCTTTATTATCAATGCCTATTAAATATTTCTATATTTCGCCAGTAATATAATTATAATATAATTATAATCATTAATTATAATATAATTATAATCATTAATTTAATTAATTAAATGAAAACTATTCGCGCAAAAATGTATCAATTTTTTATTACTTCTTTGCACCTTTATCTAAAGAAATAGAAAGGATTATGTATTCGAAGTTTATAAGAATCTATTCCGAAAAATCTACATTTTTAATTTATATCTTATGATCCATTAAAATTTCGCTCTAATTCAAAGAACGTGTCGAATGAATATGCTGATTCGTTTATATATGCGAGACATCCTATATAGGAACAGGCATCTAACTGCAAGTGGCAGATAAACGTAAACGAGCCGTTCAACTTGATGCGGCGTGTCATTGAACCGGTTTTATTCACGCCAATGCCGTAAATCAGGACTCTGAAACAGGACTCTCCTGTTTCGCATAGCGATCGAAGTTTTTTAATCCATATCGAAATAATTATACGCGAGACGCATAAAAGCGATGTTGCGCCACCGATAAAACGGTGAATTGAAGCATTCCCACGTAACACGTTCAGGAAACACGCAGGAATAACAGAAGAAGAGGTCCTTGAACTCGAGAAAGACATACCTTAGTTTTTATGAGGTACCGTGACCGTGATATTCGTAGCTTGACGAGCAAGAAACACACTGTTTATTTAATTTAATGAGCTCAATTAAACTGCAAAGTAAAATTATGTTATAAAGTTATTACTTAATAAGGAATTATTAAGGAATTATTTTTCATCGTTCATAAGGGAAAAACTATATAAGTTATGCTTGAAAATTGGAAAGTAAAATCACTTTATATAATGATAAATATTTTAATGTGTTTTTAATTTTTCTTAATTTGCTCTCTGCATATCTATCATTAAAAAAATATCTATTACAATTTTACATTTTCTCATTTGCACATTTTTTTGGTTGCACGTTTAACATAAGTAACGATTTAACATAAATTCAAAATAATATCCATCTGGCATAAAAATTCAAACTGCACAGAGTGTGAATAGTGAAAGCACACGTCGCTTTGTCAACACACGGTAGATAAAATCGCTCTTAAATTTTCCAGTCACGAATACGAACGGAAGTACTTTCAACGACAGTGAACAAGGACAACGATGCGTTAAAGCGCAAAGATGCGTCGACACGTTCGATTCAGTCGACTCGATTGAGGAAATCGAGCGAGAACTTTCTTCAAAAAATTTCGTAGCCATTAAATAAAATATTATTCTATTAAAATTATATCAAATTTGCTAAATTTTATATAATATTTTGTACATTTTTTTATGTTTAATTTTTTATGTTTTATTTTAAAATATTATGTAAAATTTAGCAAATTTAGTACAATTTTAATTGAATATTTTATTTACATAATTGCTACAATACATGGCAACGAACATCGCTCGTCATATTTTGAAAAAGCAAAAGGACACCGCAGCTATGAAACAAAACAGTAAATAAATAGTCGCCGACGATAAAGAGATCCAAAAGTACCTACAAGCACGTCGATCGGATTTAGAACGATAAATGTGGCACGATCCTGCCATACTCGAACTTGAGCGGCGCGGCACTTTTACGAGCCGTGTGATGCAAGTATCGGTCCAAGAAAAGCTGCAAGCGGGTCTTTGGCCGAACTTGGTCATCGCCGAGGGCACTGATACCATCATCTCGCTCGATTTACTCGATTATATCTCTATTCGGTCTTCTCTCTACTCTCTCTGTTTTCCAATTAAGGATATTCTTTTTCTTCATTAATGACACATAAGAACCCAATACTAATGTCAATAATTAATTCATTAATTTATTCTTAATTGAAACTTGAAAATTCTTTCATAGAGATGAGAATATTGAAGTGAGAATATTTTTCTATTTAATTAGAAAAATATAAAAATATATAAAAAAGTCATATACAAAAATGCTATTATAAACATATGAAATGTCGCATCAGTTTCTAGATATTAATGATGTAAAAAATACAGAAACATATTAATAAAAAATATATTTTCTAAAAAAAGTGCAACAAAATATAATTATATTCATTTATATAATAATGATTTTTTTATTACTACAAGACTTAACTCGCGGCCTGTTGAAAGGACTGATGTTCCATATGTGAACGCTTAATTAATCGCTTCTGCCTCCGAATCACAAAACGACATGGCTCGCGCGTTCTCGTTCCAAGTTATTGACACTAATTGGAGAAAATTCGCAGTGTTTAAGCTCGAATATGAGTCGTAAGTGATTTACTTATATTTCCGACGTGATTGCAACGATAAAGTCACGCGAGCCTCTCTCTTCATTCGAGCTGGCAACAGAATCCGTTATGCGTCGGAAACGCAAAAGATTACCGTGAGATTTAAAGAAAAAAAAATAAAGAAAATATACGAACGCAACACAACCGCAGGCAAGATCCGTATCACGCCATGTTCGACGCGGTATGATGCGAGAGAGGAACAACAAACGGTACATACAAACGTCCGGTACATCGCACAATCGATATACCGGATGGTTCATTATGTGTAATATACACAAGATGCATCATCGCTGGAGGAAATATTGTCACGTAAAAATTCAGTATTATAAGTATGGCACGAGATCACGATGCTGATGTTCCTCAGAAATATCAAATGTCAATTCAAAAGAAACAACAATATTGAATTAAAGTAAAACAAAAGAAAGATTTTATTGCATTAACTCTTATTATTATTGAAGAAATTAGAAAAATAATAAAGTGTCGCTTCTCTCGGGCAATTTTGACCGAAGAACTTTCAACATATCATATATCGTGCACGTTTTTTCCTTCTTCCTTTGTGCAGAGTCGCTCTAAAGCCGCAGCTGCGACTGCAACGCGAAAAGTCGCGACAAGAAACCAGCGCGACACGTGTATGAGCGCAAAACTGTCGTGCTCGCGTTTCTTGCGAGCGCACGTGCCTATACTGTACCCTTTTTATCGCATTTACTTTATAATCGTGAATATTACCATCGCGATGAGACGATTAAGTAGTGCCCGACTGATCACGATACTTATATATTATCCTAATATATTTTTCTCAGTATATTAGTACAATAGCTCGCACACACACATATACACAAATATATATATATATATATATATATATATATATATATAATTATATACATTTATTTATAATTATATTATATTTATAAATCTATAACACATATACACAAATATATATATATATATATATATATATATATATATAAATTATATAAAATATTAATGAGAGAGAGAGAAAATACTTGCTAAATATAACACTTGCTGAAAAAGCAATTCTGGATCACTTTTAAAAATTATAATATCGTATATTGTTTTATGTCAAGCGGAAGAAAGGTGCAAAGTGCACTGCTTATCCATTGTTATGTCGCACAAGCGCATACATAGATCTTCTATTGCTCGCATTTAAATGTCTATAACTACAATCTCACGTCTGAAATATCATTGTCCATTTATATCATCAGCTTTTTTTATTATATTAGATATATACTGGTTTTTTCCGTTCTTTCGTTCACAATAGTTATCGATATAATACAGACTTTGTTTCAGTCGACGATTAAACGCAGATTGATGTGAAATTTCGCTTTTAATTTATCGCGATTGAGACGTCAAGTTGAAAGATATTTTTACTGTAAATTATACTGTATTTTTACTGTAAATTATACTGTATTTTTACTGTAAATTATATAAATTAAGAATTTAATTTTATGTGATTTTCTCTCTTTTTCTCTCTTATTCTCTCTTTATTTAGAAAATCTTTAATCTTAAAACAAGAAAAGCAAATCGAGAGTGCTTTTTCGTATTCTATATTTTTTTTAATTTTATATCTCTCATGATGTTATTCCATAAGAAATAAATCTCTGAGAGAGATATATACAATTATAAATACAATATATTTTACATCATTGTTGAATCGCAGATATAAAATATGGATGAAGAGACATTGTCAATGTAATTTCTTAAGTAGATTTTCTTAATAGAATTTCGGTTTCGTGGAAAACATTTACTCAGGAATGAAAAGAATGCGCGTGTGAATGCACCTCATGTGTTTTACTTGCAAAGTATGCAGCTATAAATAACAGGTCTCTCTGTCGAGGATTTCTATAATAGCTTTCCCACGCATATAAAATCGTTAACGAATCCCCTGCTTAATCTGCTAATGTATTTAGAGCGTAGGATATTTTTAAACTTTTTCTCGTTCTAAACGGCGAAGGAAAAATTCATCTCTCTTTTAGTTGAGCGATCAGGACTTCGTAATTAAAAATTTGTTTCAAACGCTAATTTTTTGCGATCTATATATGTCAAGTCCCGATGAAATTCCACGAAGATAAAATAAGCTCTACTGCGAATATAAATTTGACACCAGTCAATTAAGTTTTACTGAAATTGTATCGAATTGAAGAGAAGAAATATGTATGGAAAAAATAAAATATACGAGGGAAAGAAAGAGAGAGAGAGAAAGAGATTGATGAGGGAGAAAGTGAGGCGAAACTCCGGATACGTCAAGTTTCTGTATACGATACAGTACGCAAACCAAGTTTTCTGCCTCTTCCTGATTATTTTTCTCCAAAATACCGATGTGTCATACCGTGGCGCCCTTTCGTTTCGACCGGGTCCGACCCCACCCAGACAGCAGGCAGGCAAAACGAAGAGAACTCACACCAGCAACCGATTAGGATGACTCACCACCCGCCGCACTCCCGCGAGAGCGAGTGCTTCCGTACGAAATAAAAGGTACACGCTGTCTCTCCCCCGCTGATGCGTCCCTCACGCGAAGGTCGATAAAAATAGTTGGCATCTCCGAAGCGAAGGCCATGCGTCGACAGCGAATTTTCATGCCGCGCGACGAAGCGCTGCCTCTCGAAGGGCTTCCCGGTCGGTCTCCATGGGAACTGCCCCCGTGACGATCCCTTCAAGGTTGCACGAGCTGTCGCGAGGATTGCCAGTCTTGATTGTCTTGCAATAGTCATGTAGCGACAATGATATTCATATATTTTGGATTTTTTGGATGGTTAACTGAGTTCACCGTCTGTCTCGTTGAAGGATAGAGGGTCTAATAAAGTCATTAATTAGTCGCTTTTATAAATCCTAGATATAATGCAGGATGACACACTCACCTAGAATGTTTCAATGTCTCAGTCCTTTAAATTAATCAAGGATAATACATTCCATATCAAAAGAATTTTGTTTCTTTAATAACTTTGAATTTATTTATCTAGCAGATGCATAATATTTAAATCTTAATTCATTAATTTTATATCTTTTAATCCACTTGGATCTTTGCTTAAGAGGAAGGTAGGAAATATAAGGGAATCAATAATCTTCGAGTTACAAGTAATTAAAATTGAATTAAGAGAGAGAGAGATAGAGAACAAATGGATTTATTCCTCGTATAATTTCCTAGATTTAGGAGTAGATTTAACGAGTACAATGTAAATTATACAAGATCGAGAAAGGAAGCATGTTTCGACTTGGTCGAGCAGCAGTGTATCTACCACACGAATTTACATCGCTACGTCATTCACGGCGTGTGTGAACCGAGAGAAACGCTTTGTCCTCGTCGCACCCTCGCGCGCCCCTTGTCGTCAAGGGGTATTGAACCTTTCACCTACTACATAATTTTAGCTCGAGTATCTCGCATATGTAAAGAGAGTGAAAAATATCGCGATGCCAAAAGTCTTCTAAGAGACATTTAAAAGACTCCCCTAGCAACCTAGAGTCTAAACGACGTCGTGATCGCTTCTCCTAATCTAAAATATCGCGTTGTTGGGTGTGCTCCGATGTGTACGCAGGACAACCGAGAAGGACGAAACAGGACGCACGCGAACGTTATCCGAAACCGGAATCGCAACCGTGTTCCGCCGATAATCACGGGACAGGAAGCTGAGGCTGGCTTCTCTTACCTCTCTCTCTCTCTCTCTCTGACTTTCCGCGAAGAAGTCCTGCTTCCCTCAATCGTTGGCTCCTTGACGCTCCGGTCCGGTCGAGCGTATCGATGGCACACACGCGCGCGCGTCCCGTCCCGGCTCGACACTATTCGATCCGACTGGATTCGGCCGCGCCTCGGTCTCGCCGAAGGATGCGTAGGACTGCGAGAAGATAAAGACGGTGCGCGCGTAAGCAGGGAAGATAAACGCAAGTCGCAGGACGAGACAGAACGACGGGAGCAAGGAACCGGCGTACGCGAGAGGAGCGCGAGAAACGGGGACCGCACAAATCGACGCTCGTCACGCTACTGAGGCCCGCCGCGCAACGTCGGCCGCTCCTAGTCCTAGGCAGGCAGGCCCCGCCGCCTCGCGGCGACGCGGGAGCGCGCAAGGGTAGGGGTTGACGGCTGTCGCATCCCCCCTTCTCCCTCTCTCTTTCTCTTTCTCTTCCTCTCCTTCCTTCTCTTTCTTCTCTCTAGCGATGGCGATGATTCCCTCGTGTATTATCCACGCAGAAAGCACTTTATATTCAAGTTAACATTATTCGTTTCGAATATTTTTATAAGCTTTTGTACGAGTCTATCGCAAACATATTACAAGTAAAATTTAGCATTCCAGTTAAGAATGTAATCCAGTATATTAAGTTGAAGGAATTCCATCTGCCATACCGGAGTAGATAAGATATTCTTGAGAATTCCTCTTGAAAACTTGTGACGAGTTTATTTTGCAAAAATTATTATCAAGAAAATATTCTTATTTCTATTCGTTAGAGATGGCCGTGCGAGGGAAATTAAAGAGAATTTCTTATCTTTCTTAGTAATAGAATGATATTCCGCATACGAAGAAAGATTGATATAAAGAAAAACATTAAATTTAATTTTAATCTTCGATATTTTCGCGTAGTAAACAGATGATCGATTTTTACCGATAAAGAACTAGTCCTGAAGTAGCGATGTATTGTGTATAACTAGTGCACGTACATTGATAAAACCTTTTTATCGTAATAGTAAACTGCAAATGCCATGTCTTGATATCTTTAAAGGAGATATAAAAAGATATCCTGATATCTCTAGAAAATACAGATTGCAATATCTTTTTTCGCTTATAAGACTTTTTCACCCAGTTACACTGAGAGAAAAACTTCTTGAAATAAAAAAATTTTATTTAACTCGAAAAGCTATTATTCGGTGGGTGCTAATCACATTATTTACTTGTATTCAAAACGTCTATTAAATATTTATTTACATATATTAAAAAATTTATATGCTTAAGAAAATATAATTTTTAACTATTTTCATATTTTAATTTTACAAAATACTTATTAAAATGCTTTTACTTGAAAAAATTTTGAATTTTTTAGTTTTAAAAAACCATATATTTAATTTAATCAATTATAGTATGTATTTTGTGAAAATAGTATTTAAAAATGTAAATAAAAAATAATGTACTCGATATAATATGCATATTTAATTAAAATTAAATGCCTTTGATTAAATAAAATAAATGATTCCTTTCATTCAAAGCAAAAGTTTCAAAAAAACAAATTTACTTGATTTAAAATAATTTTTCCCTCAGTGTATAAAATCGCGAATTTTCTTCCTTCCTTCTCTCATTTCTTAAATATAAATCAATCTCAAGTTTCAAAATTAGCTAATATCATCCTCTATCTTGTTCATTTTCACCGAGACATTTTCTAAGAAACACTTCTGCGCCTCGCTTGTCAAATAACAGGCCGATTGTGAACAATCTAACAATTAAAGAACAACAGATTAATCGCAACAAGAGCAAATACCTGTCGTTAAACAATCTGTTTCGAAGGGACCAGGCATCGACCTCCCGCGAACAAGTGGCATGCTTGTTCGGTAGGAAGCGAAACCGGTCTGGGCCCATCGCTCGCAGCTGACTCGGCACGAGAGAGTCGCGTGCAGCAGAGGAGGAAGACAGAGAGGGTTGGACGCGAGTGGTAAACGTGCATCGAACTGTCGACGCGGTTATTGTATAGGGGCGGTGAACCTCGTCCGTGTTTTTCGCGTTGCCGGCCGGCCGTCGCGATAATAATTTCGCGCTATTTTCGCGCACGAATCGCGTCCACGTCCTTCGCGGAATCGATACGAGAAGCCGCGGCGTCAGCGAGCGAGCGAGTGAGCGCGACGTGGACCTTTTTCGGTCAAGAGACAGTCGCATACATATTACATGTCATTACATTATGTCATCCCGTACAGAATCTCTCGTCGGATATCCTTTTCATTACATTTTTAATTAAGTCGTTTAAAAACATGACATGACAGTAATTAATTAAAAAATATAAATATGTTAATTTTGTTATTTTTGGAGTTATTTTTTTAAAACTTTGCATATATTTGTTTATATGCCAAGAGATTATTTTTTTACATATTTCATTATTTTTTTCACGAGTCACCTTATTACTTACATCATGATTTTTAATGTATATCATAAATAGATATTGTAAACACGATATAATTACTGTTATATTATAATAAATAATATAATATATTATAATAAATAATAAAATCATTATGCTGATTGCTACGATACAATACAAAGCGCAGAAAAAACAAGACGTTGTGTGTGAATTTATAAAAAAATGTGCAATAAAGATCTTTCTTCTTGTAATAAATGTTCAGAGCATTTCTATAAATATTATGCTAACTGGACCTATTTAATCTCTCCGATTTCTATAACGGAAGCTTTGTGTTTTCATTTAAGCGCAGAATTTCAATCTCGTCTAAAACCACCATCCTCTCTTCCCTCTATTACTTCATTCTTGTCTGACAGTGAAAACACTCTTGTACAACTAGATTTATTTTTTTCTATTTCTGGCCAGCTTTTCGCCGCTAAAATCTCTACTAATGGAAATAGAAATCTTACTGAACTAAATTGCCGGATGTTTAATCAATTTCACTATCTCCCACTTGTGATGCGATTTCTCGCCAGGTGGACTCTGACAGATCGCGCAATCATGATGCCTTTCGCAAATGGACTCAAACTCGATTGAAATAACCCGTGCCAGTGGTACCCGGTGGATCTAGACGATATCGCGTCTATTGCTACCCAAATGATGACGGGAAAGAGAGGGGAAAGGAGGGCACGCGAGGAAATCTTAAAGGTAGCAGATCCGATCTGTTCCAGATCTATAACCGGATCTCTCAGATCCAATCCATCAGGCAAATCTCCTGTTGACTAGACTGATGAGATTAACCAAACCAGTTTGGTTGAGTTTGACCTGACTCGCTAATACTCGCCTAAATAAGCGCACAGGTTTGCTCTCCAATTAAAGCACGCGAGCGATATCGTATATCACTCGTAATAATGACGAAGAGATTTATATTAACGGTTCTCTTCCCCTCTGCATTTCCTGATATCAGTTTACGATTAAAAATGCACGTGTGCACGTGTGTCTGTGCGTATGCGCATTCAACTATCTTTAATTATACTTGTATCTTACTTAGTTACAAGATTACAACTCTGAGTTAATTGACCTTAATATTAAATATTTTTAAAACGAATTAAAAATTTGTCAATTTTATAATATTGCTAATATTATTAATGATTAAAGAAAGTTATTAAAGATTTGCATATAAATGACATGTATAAGATATATTATTATAGTACACATTACTTTCTTTTTTCATTAAGTAGAATTGATATCATTCATTGATTCCATCGAATTTTTTGGTTTTATGATTCAATCAATCAATCAATGAATCATTCAATCATTCAATTCAATCAATCAATTATTTCATCCGAGAGGTATATCAATGACAATTCGAGATTCCGTTACGAGTTTCGCATCGAGCACAATCGTTCAGGCTGAGCGATCCATTAAAAAAGCTATCCCTAATTAGTACTATAGCTACTACTTAATTTGATTTGGCTCGAGGAGCCAGAGACTTTTCCGAGCGTGTCTAACGAGAACCTCTCATATCCGTCCGAGATCGCTTTCCGGAAACGTGCTGTCTTTTTCAACGAGAGAATCTCTCTTCTTCATTCTTATCGTCTCATGAATCGTAAAATACGCAAAATTTCGTCGCCTGTCTCTTATTCTTTTTTAATTTTCTCTTTTTATTTATTTTTTTATTTTTTTATTTTCTAGTCACGTTCTAGAGTTATTTTTTAAACTCTTTATGAGGTAACTAAGGAAACATTGATAAGCTTCAATTATGTTTCGTTTGGCAAATTGCTTTAAATTTCATCATCATGCTTTGACGAGCTCGATAAGCACAAGCCTGCAATTAAAAATTATTAAGTAAATATTTATCGCAATCACAATTCGATAAATGAAATCCAAGATCATTTTTATTTGCAATCATTTACAATGCATATCATTATGCAATTGCTGTCGAGGCTATTGATAATGACATACATCTTAGATAATGTTTTAGTATTATTCATTGCAAGTTCAATACACATTATTCAGAAATCTTACCTTGCAATTCAATTAATGAGCTTGGAGAATTGAGTCCGATTTCCCTACAAACAATACAATATCATTGTTGGCATAATTTATGCTTGTGCTTCAACTTCGAGCAAAAGAAAGGATGCATTAAAAATGCAAATGGAGATATTATTTCGTAATAAAATAAGAGATATATTCTCTTACTTTGCACGTTTAATTTGCATTTTTAATCGTGGACAAAAAAATGATAGTTATTATCCTGATTTTTGAGAGAAGTTCTCTTTGCAGAAAGAAATTTTTGCCCGCTTGTGCAATAAATCATTAATAATTTTTTAATTCTACAGTTATACTACAACTCTAATTAAACGCCCGAAAATGCCACACCCTACGGACCTACTTCGATTTTCCTGCAGCATCTTTCCCACACCCGAAATCCCGGAAAGCAGTATCAATGTTCTCCCTTTTCCCTTACCTTGTTCTATCATATCTTTCATAAGAGCTACTTCTTTGTTACAATAAAATATCTGTCACTAAGATTCTTAATTTTAGAAAAAGATGAAAATTTAACAAAGAAAATTTAAATTATCAGATGTACAATTATACCCTATCTATATACGACAATAGTAAATTAATGTAAGAATTTAATTAATGAATTTATTAATTAATTAAATGTCTCAGAAATTGATCCGAAAATTGCTTTGGAAAATTATTTGAGTCATTGTTATAACTGAATGGAAAAGTGACAAGTGAATTCTCTATACAAAGGTAAATTCTATATAAGATATTCCTACACAATGCGGGATATTCAGGAAAGTGAGAAAATCATCTGTTAAATCGCGCTATTTCATGCATTTATAGACTTTAAATGACCAAAATATCATCGCGCATGTTCGCTTTGAGACTGCGATGAATTTTTCACTTTCCGCGAATTCAATATCACGCTGAGCGCTTTGCATTCTTGTTGCGTCCCGACTCTGTACCCGGCGCAAACGCGTTGCTGATGAACGCGAGTTCGCTGACCGGCTGGCGCGGCGGATGGTGGAGAGAACGCGCGCCGCGCCACGAGAAAGCCCCGCGAAAGAGTAGACCGTGACCGTGGCCGTGACCGTGACCGTGGCCGAGTTGTTGCAATCGCAATAGACATCGCCACCAACCAGACGGCCGCGGCGACGTTACCGAAAAAATATATAAATTCTCATACATATGCATATATAATTATTAATAAATCAAACTATGATCGGTATTCATATTCCCTTTTTATATTTAAGATCGTTTTCAGTGAGGTCTGAAAATGTTACACGACCATTTCATTGGCTGAATGAAGGTCTTGAGGCGAGATCCAAGACTACTGAGGATGATCTTAAATATAAGAACGGATTACATATAAATATTGATGAGAAACTCTAATCACATTAAAGATATATATATATATATATATATATATATATATATATATATATATATTTACACAGATACATACTCAGGAATACATGGTTAAATGTAAAAGTATTTGCTTCGAAATACGTTACATCAGAGAGAGATTATGTTTCGTATTAATTAGCAATATTATATAGGAATGAAAGTATATTTAATGATTTTTTGGAACTATCATTAGCAGAGTAGCATGAACGATCTGAGAGTTCTCTTTCTATTTCTTGCTTTTGTAAAATAAAGAATAAATTTTTTCTATTTATTTTTTTAAATCATTTATTTTTAGATTGCTTTTAGAAACGTTTATGCTACTGCGAAAAATAAATAATGTGTGGAACAAATGCTAGATATAAACTTAATTCTAATATAATGCAAGATATTTGAATTATCAGAGTTTAATATCAACAATTCTAATTCATTTCAAATGCCAAGAAGTATTTATATTGCATCCGGTAATGATTGGCACAATTCTGATAAATATCATATTTCTTTATAAAAATTTATACTAATTTTGAATAGTACGCTTTGCACTATTAGCTTTATTATTATTGAATTTTGAAAATATATCTCGATAACACAATATTCACGTGTTTCAATAATTTATATAAAGATAGAAAGAAATATACGTAAAATAATTAAGCGTAATGTCGGATAAAGAGAGGCGAAGAGATTATTGATGTAGATTGTATATTTGTTATACAGTAATCGCATTCGCCGCATACAATATATATATATTGCGTCACATAATACAAATGAATACGCGTGATATACAAAGTACGATGAAGTACACACAAATCCTAAGCTTAATCCAAAGCTTAATTAATTCCAAATAACTTTAGAAGATTCTCTTTCTTTTTTCTTTCTATCTCTCTCTCGTTACGTATGAAATTCAAAAAATGTACAAAAAAGAGCGATAAAAGAAAACCAAGGATCCACTTATTCGATGATAAAAAAAAGATGCTATTGGAGCTAAAAGGAAACAATCAAAATGACTACTTCATATATGTAGTGGAAAAATATGTTTTAGATTGAAATATGTTTGGAAAAATGCGAAATGTGATTCTATTTTATCTGCACAAATACATATGTCATCAATATATATTTTGTGTAACTTTCCAATGAGGTAACTATTCTCAATCTATTTGTTTTTCGTGAAGCTCGTAGTAAAGGTACAAAATGTCTATACTAATATATATTTTTCTCTTTGTCATCGCTCATTATCGTACAAATACGTGGCATTTCTACATGATTGATCAGTATGATTATCGAAAAAACACCACAGGTTCTAATACAGTATGGTTATATAAATATACAAATTTTTTTACACAATGATTAATTATTGATCGTGTGCGCGTTTCTACATTAGGTAATTAAGGTTTTTCAATGATTGATTGGTGATAAACGCATTCTATTTTTCATGAAGGGTATAGTTGTCGGAACTTCAATTTGCACACACATATACAAGATTTATGTTAATATTATTCCTGATAATAATTCTGATGAAAATTTTCCCACAAGAAGTATGTAAACAGAATACCTTATACCCGAATAATTATTTGTTTCTAAAACATTCAATATTTTTATTATCAATAAGTGCATCTGTAAGATACTTGATTTGAGCCAATAGCTAAATCAATATATTCTCGTCCATTATGGCAACATATAGAAATAATTATATTACAAAATAGATATAAGTGATAGTATCATTTTATCGGACAACGATCAAAAATTGACTACTTATGGCACTACCTATCGATAGGTTTTTTTTTACATCTTTGACCAGAGAAGTCAATCAATTTCATATATGTAAATAGAACATATAAATAGGAAAAAATATTAATCTTTAATATAAATTATATAAAATCATGTAAAGTCATCAATATAGAGTAATTGCTCTATATCTCATTATTATTATAAATAGTAGTATTGCCATAATTATGAGCAAAAATTTATGTCATCTGTTTGCATGATAGATGATAGATTTGGTGAGATCAGTAACTAATTAAAATAAACTATGATATTATGCAGTTAAATATAATCTAATTTCTTAATATTCAAAATTTATATATATATATATATATATATATATATATATTATAAATTATATAATTTACATATATTATAAATTTATATAATTTATGAACATATGATTTATTAGGAATATTCTGATTTAGAAGAATAGAAGCATTGTAACTATTCTATTCTCTTAATCTTTCTTTCACACATTTTTAGATAATATCTTGATCTTTCCTTCATACTTTTTTAGATAATAGATATTTAACATATAATTTTATATAACACTATATATAGGATGTTAAATATATAAATTTATAATCAAGCAAATTCTGATCGTCGTCCGAAAATCATGTACAAATATTTTATCTAAATATTTTAGAGCATTTTCTTTACTCTTAATTAGTATTATACATATATAGTGGCTCAATTGTTGGCTTTAACATTCACTATAAATTTCACTCATGCATCTAATACTCATCATTCCTGGAAACACTGGTTGTCGTGCGTCGCTTAAATCATTAAATCATTACTACTGGTGTCTGCTTTTCTAGTGACTAAAGATTATGTGTACGTATACTTTGCAATTCTTGAGTACTACTTTTTACGATTGAATATTCAATCAATTACAAAGAAAACGCTTAATAAATATTGATTATATTCTTTCTCTTTCTTTTGTTACTTAAAATATCTTATTAATTTTTATGGCAACGCCGAAACCGCAACTAAAGAATATTATAAATCATTCATCCAAATATGTTTTGGCATTTCATGTTCTTATTATTATTTGCAAAGTGTATAAGGCTAGGAATTGTAGATTATCGTCTTCCTCTTATTTGTATCCAAACAGAATAAAAGACGACTTATTCTTTCCAATCCTTCTTAATTTCGAACGCCCATTCCCACTTGAGATGTTCGTGTTTGTCATCGTCTGTGAAAAGAGAACTGACGCTGTAAGACCCTCGCGCTACAACGCCGGATGGCGCATCCTCAGGTGGAGTGATATAAGATTGAAGTTCTGTTTTAGGGGGATACGAGCCTACCATATGTGTCATCTTGTCAACTGAAACAAAAAAGATTACAGATATAAAATCTGTTCAATCATGTTTTTTATATAGAGATTATCGTATATTCTATTTACCCGTTACTCCTAATTTGCAGTTGGAGCATTAACAAGAAATCGAATTTATGGTAATTAAAAATATGACATCAATCGATATTCAAACACAAAATGAATAAAGATAAAAACATACCAGGCATACCAAGACGATATGTCTTCTGAACATATTTCAATCCATGCACAATCTCACGCTGTACGATAAAATCAATTCTGATTTTGTAGCTTACACCTTCCTTGATGACAAATATCTGTTTTTTCAATTGTGCTAAATCACCAGTCAAGTCTAACTCCATATCTGGTCGATCGGCGACACACAGTGCCAATTTTTTTACTATTACTTTTCTAGGATCATCAGGGTCTAAAAAAGCATGCATTTACAAGTATTATTATTATTATGCAAATATATTAAATAGCTCTGCATATTTTAAATGTATTTGCTACATGATTATTATTTTTACTAATGAATAAATAGAGGTAAATAAAAAATGTATTTTAATATTTTATATACAATGACACTATATGATGCAAATATAAAGTTGTATAAAATTTACAAAAATTATAATATTATAAGATCAGATCTTTATGGAATACAAGCACTTTATATATTAATAATAATGAAAAGTATAATGAATAATTAATATTTTAATAAGTGATGATAAAAGCAAATCCTAAATACATTTAATTATATATATATATATATATATATATATATATATATATATATATATTTTTTATTATACATATATAAAAGAAAAGAAACTCACCCACTACGATACCACCAGACTTCGCTTCTCCCAGAAGCGTCTCCTTATATTTGCGCAAACTTTCATCCTCCTTGTCCGCCTCCAGAATCTGCTCGATACTCTTCTCCGGCGGAGGCTTATAATTGGACTCCAATTCCTCTTCCAACGCATCTACATGATCACCCGTAGGGTCAGACATCGCTATATTCAAACCGGGAAAAACATATATATATAAACAAACTTGTGTGAAGAGACAGGAAAAACGTGTTATCACGCGATAAAGAATTTTCTCACTGATGAAAAGTCCAAGAATTTGGCAGGCGGCGCCAAATTTCGGAAGAAAAGCGGGACAGAAAAGCGTGCACGTACCGCGTATATCGGCGGAATATTTTTAGAACGTTCCAAGAGATCGATCAGGCAGCCGCGCGTAATGACAGAAACTAATGAGATCCTTTAATCGGTCGTGCTCTTACCTGCACTTTTTGCACTTGGAGTGAAATACTACATACGTATAAGATTTCAAAAAGTACGATTGAACGATCGAATCTCGAGATCCATTCACCGAATATGAACAACGCCAATCTGTTTATTTCAATTACATCTGTTTTTTTTGCATTTTTCTTATTTATAAAATAATATAGGTACATTCGGGACGAGAGAAAGCAAATAAAATATAGAAAATACGATTAAAAGGAATACAGCTTATGCTTTTTCTACACCTCTCTTTGACATCCTATTATCTTTTCTTCATAAAATCCAAGCGTATTTATTTTAAGCTCGAAAGGTGCAAAGTGCGATATAAGAACATGTATATCTATGAGTAGGCCTCAAAATTGTTTTATTTTTCCGTCTACTTTTTTCCGACTGCCCTGCTTGTTTTCCATTCAATATAGCCAATAATAAAGTGTGAAGCCGGTACGTCAAGGAAGCATAAATTTCCATAAATACTCGAGAGAGAAGTCAATCGTGACATTTTATTTACCAGCGAACGGACTTATTTTCGCGAATCTACCAGTCGTAGCTGAATGAATTGGGCGAAATTTTGCCGGCTTGCTCAATTATTATGTTTTTTTTTTTATCCGAGCGCAGATAAAAAGCACGAGTTAAGAATTCGAGAGACAGAGTTACGTCGCTGGAGAAAAAGGAAAGCGGTCGAACAAATAACTTCGGTTTCGCTGGAGAAGACGCGGCGAGAAACACTCGATCGGGAGTTGAATTGGAGATATTCGCATTTTCAAACACTCACCGTGTCGCTCTTGGGGTGTCTTGACAGGCGGCTTGAGTGACGATACGACCGGTCCTCACGTCCGCGAAAATACGCACCGAATTATCAGCAGACTGCTAATCTCGTTTGCCTTTACCCCTCCGCTTCGTGCTTCGCCGAGCGGAAGGCACGGACAACATGGCGGCTCCTCCAAAAGGGCGGGTACTTCCTGCGACCGCGTAAGCCTGCCTCGCATGGAGGTTATGCGAGCTTCAAGCTTACGTTTGACACTAAACACGTGTTTAGTTATCTCTAATACAGCCAATATCGCCGTAATTTGTCCGATCTAAATTATTTCACGTGAACGTGCTAAATACATCGAATAACTTTAGGGTTTCTTCGAGAATGTTTATATCGATTTTCGTATACATATTAGTATACTTTTTTATTGGCGTAATTTTTTGACATTTCGCGTAATTTTAATAAAAAAAATTGACAGCTATTCATAATTATTTATTTAACATTGAGTCTTCTCTTGGTTTTCTTTTTAGATTTGAATTTTATTTTTATTTTGATAAAGTAACTGGATTATTTTATAAGTTACTGTATTTTGCACAAACATGAAAAGTTGATTTTTCAAATTGTTAATATAAAGTTAAATTATTCATGATAATTATATTAAGAAGTTCAATATATCTAACAAGATGTTAATAAAAAAGTTTATACCTAAGTTTATATCTAATCATTTTTAATCTATACTATATTACTAAAAATCTTCAGAAATGAGTTTAATCTTTTTGTAATATACTTTGACAATATTCCAAAAGTGCTTCTATCCCTGTTTTGTTCCTAAAATTTGGTTGACAATTATGTAATTTTTGATGCAATAATTCGGGATAAATCTTTGCGACACTCTTTAAAGCATCTAAAAAAATAGCAAAAACTATATATTAAAAAATTTATACTAAAATTATTGAGATCTATATTAAATTAAAAAAACTAATTTATATTTATATTAAATTATTTAATTTATATTTATGTTATATTAATATTTATATTAAATTAAAATATATATATGTTACATTAAAAAAAGGAGTATAGATGTAGAAAAAAAAATAAATAGCAGAAGTTTATTACCTAACATTGTCTCTTGGAAACGGGATTCTGGATCATCCAAATGAATAATCATTGTCGTGTATAGAGCATCAATATGACTTCTACTGCCGATAATATCATATTCTTTAGACGCACTGTTCCATATATCAACGAGTGCTTCCACAGCAGCATAGCGAACATCATCGCAACCATCGTCGAGTCTTTTCAATACCACTGGATATGTGCGATGAATATGTTCATCGTTCAAACAGGCTAATCTCTGTCCAACTGTTATTAATAAACAAATAGCACGCATAGAGTACAGTCTAGTTTTCTTCGCTTTATCGTCTACCAAACTGACTAAAACAGGCGTGACTTTATCAAAGATAGATGGAAACTCGTCTACTGTAATGTAAATTTTAGCTTTTTCATTTGAAGACGAGTCGTCTATTTTCTCGCCGGAATTAATTATCCTGTTCTCCAGGATGGCACAGAGGCAACAAACTGCGGCTGTACGAATAGCTTCAGCCGCTCTGCCAGCACTCCAAATGAGTCCAGGCACAACCAATTCCTCGATAATCGTATTCACGAATTTATGTGGATCCTCAATATATTGATTTAAATTCTGATTATTAAGAAAATATTCTGAAAGCAGAATAAAGTGTCGCAGTTTCAATTCAGGATCGGCGTCTTTGCTCATAGTTTTCTTGAGAATAGGTAATGCGAGATCCATATTATGTGCTATGGCGATTCCAGCATGACTTAAGCAAGCGCTAAAAATTTGCGATTCTGCACTGTAAATCGACCATGAGGCACAGTCATCATGAATCGACGTTAACAGCGGTTTTACATGATTGCGAAAAAGATCTTCCTTATCCTTTAACGAGTTTATATCGATGAGCACTTCCAAGAGTCTGTCTGCTTCCTCGCGAATGAAAGACTCTACACTCATCGCGTACACGGTGAATATTACGGTGAATAATGCTTGAGTAATTGATATGCAGTCCTGCACATTCAATATATTATGTCTAAAAATAAAGTACAAGAAAAATGAAATTATATTTAAAACAAACGAACTCATAAAAAGTCATACCTGTTTACAAACTACAAGCAGAGAATCACAGGAAGATAATATTTGACGTTGATAGTTACTCTTTCTGCTTTGGCAAACATATGGTTGCTGTAAAAAGGAAGCAACTTTGTTTAACTGTAACGAAAGAGCTCGCCGTTCGCTGCCACTGATAATCGCCGAGAAGACACGTAGGTGTCCGACTGTTAGACATTCCTCCAAAGTGGGAAGCATCAAATGACAATAAATTTTAGGCTCTACAAAATAGCCCAGATATCGCGCAGCGGTTTCCACACAGCCCACGACTCTTTTGTCTTCGTCATTGCAAGCACTGTAACAAAGAGTATAACTACAATATATACAGTAATTACAATCTTCTTCATTATAACACGGCCAATCATATTTTTTAAAAGTTATATAAATAAAATGTAATTTTGGAGTAACAAATAATTGGTCTTTATATTTTACAATTTTCAATTTTTAATGAAAAATGTTGCAAATGTTGTATTTACCGATACATAGGTGGCAAGAGCTTTTCAATATATTGTGTAACATCCTCTTCAACATTTAATATCAATATGCAGAGTAATTGTGCAGAGCGTACACGTATATCTGGCAACCAATCTCCAAGCTCGACACTGATACCATTAATTAGCTTACATAAATTCTGCTGTGCAATTATACGACATCCTAAATTTGGCCTAGAAACTAGCAATTATAATCTTGTATATAGTATACTTTTTAATCTATAATTTATATATATATATATATATATATATATATATATATATAATCTAAACTGTTTACATATTCTCGTGATTTCTCTTAAATAACTTACTTTCTGGAGGATAATGTTCCGGATCTTCTGTAAGAAAATCCATCTTATCTTTTAATTTTCTGTCGTTTTCATTTTCTTCCATGTATAATCTTCCTGCAGCATCCCACAAATTTGCTGCTTTCACACGAATCTCTTCAAGTTCATCATGCAATCCTGTCAGGATCAATGGAAGAAGTTTGTGCCACCAACCATATCTATCAGGTAATTGCGTCAACCAGTAGCCAGATACCTCAATTATAGCTATAAAGATTCATAATAAGATTATAGAAATTTGCATAAAATAAAAAAAAAATTTGAATAAAAGTAAAATAAAAAAAGAAAATTATATGAAAAATCTATTATACCTTCTCTGACAATTCCATTTTGATCAAAAAGCCTCTGTGCCAAAGGAGTCGCTACTTCTTCCATCGACTTACTATTTCCATGTTGAATAACATCACCTATCGCTTTAACAGCGGCAAGCCGAACTCTGTAATGCTGGTGCGTAAAATTACTTAAGATGGGTTTTATTAAATGCTCCGATTGCGAGTAGAAATGTCTTGGCAGAGTCTTTGCATACTCCGATATACATCTGCAACTCTCCTTTTTTACATTTGGATAATTATCCATAACGGTGCGTGCCAATATTCCTGTCACATCTTGGATGTATGGCACTAATAAATCTTTGTATTTTGCGATTATCATACGCAGAAGAGACACGCACTTCAAACGTACTTCCTCTGACGGCTCGAGCTGCTCCTGTGCGCCTAATCGTCTGGACATTATCGGTATAACATAAATTATGTGCTTGTCGTTGGGTGGCAGAGCTTCGAGAAAAATCTTCAGTATTCCTACAGTCAGATCTCGACATGTCTCAGTATTATCATTCAAGATTCTGACTAGAAATCTATCTATACTCTCCCATATTTTGGCCAAATCGTCGAGTCTGCTCGACATCTCTTCCCGAGATATATTTTTCATTATTTCTTCTAATGCTTGTCTGCGACGATTTTTTTCGTCCGCTTGCAACGAAACGATAATCTTGCTTAATTCAAGATCCAATTCCATGTTTTAATCAGATTCTTTTTCTGAAATCAAAATGACAGTATAATACAAAAAGCATAGAAGTTCGAACTTACAGAGTATATAAGAAATAATTAATATCCGATCTAAATACTGTGTTTCCATGACAACACTCCTGTGGATTGATGATATACGTTCTTTTGATCTCTTTTGATCGCATAATTGCTATTATAAATTCATATATATTTTGCAAATACTCGCTTTACTTTAATATACAATTTCTTTTATTTATCTGAAAAAAATTCTTATATCTTGAAATATATTTATTATGTCTTAATTTTTAAAATACAATGATTTTATATATAATCATACAGTAAAACTAAAACTATTAAACTAGATCACTGGTAAGCACAGAATACACATCTATATATATGATTTTACAGGATTCTAAAATGCATTACAGTATGATAATACTGTACCAATTACTGTAACAATTATATCTTACATCCGACTATATTCATAGCTGGTTTTTTACAATCTACAACTATAGATTATATAAGGGAAAAATGACTATCAAAAAAATATAATTAAATCATTCGGCCGATTATTATCATTAATAAACACAAGAGACTAGTTTACATATTCATTTGTTTCAGGTCAAGGAAATATAAAAATAGTGTAGAAAATTAAAAGACGGATATGTATTCTGGACATGGTCCCCGGCATCGACTTTTATGTGACTTTCATTGTCATTTAATCATAATTAAAATATAATTTTTGATGGTTGAATACTTAGTTTCTAATCCTCCAAAGTTACATTTTTAAATAGATACGACATTGATTCTTTATTATGTATACGTCGAATTGCTTCTGCTAAGAGAATACTAATGTCGACAGTCTTGATTTTTGGGCATTGCATCTTCTGCACGTCATGAGGAACCGTATTGGTTACAACCACCTGAAAACATTTAATGGATTGTTTTCCATCTCAATCTTCCAAATGTTAAAAAACTATGCCTCTAATTTTAATATTGTTACCTCATCGATTGGAGACTCTTCAATGAGTCTAGGCGCATCTGAACTGAGTAAACCATGTGTAGCTAAGACATATATTTTATATGCTCCTCTCTCCTTAAGCACTTCGGCAGCTGCTACGTACGATTGTACATCATCTATCATGTCATCCTAAAAATCATTTTTCAGGTATAAATCATACCCGATTATATGTATAACTGAATCTATATCATTATCTTACTCACCACCATAATAGCAATACGTCCTCCTACATCTCCGACAACACTTATAGGCGGCTTTTCTTTCGCTGGATGCAAAGGCACACCTACACCAACATCCATAGTACGTGAGGCTAACGCTAGTGCGGGTGGTGAATAGCGACCGTCATTCATATCCGATTCGGCTTCTCTCTGTTCTCCATGAATTACTGCAATGCCCAAACGAAGTCTTTCTGCATAACTAGTAGCTTTCTTTGCACTACCTGGATTTCTTGCAACGATCACAGAATTATGATAATCAGGAATCTGACAAAAAAAGGATATATTTTATATCTGACAAAAAAAGATATATTTTATTATTTTTACTTTAATGAAAAAAGCATAATGTAAAACATTTGTAACAAATTGTTTTCAAAGTTATGAAAAAAGAAAAAAGTTACGTCTGTGGGTCTTTAGTCCCAATTCATTCAAATAAATTTGCTATTACAATTCAAAATTAAGTAATAGATTAGGATTTATATAACAATATATGTAGAAGAACATACGGATTCTTGAATGTATTGCAATAGGAATGGGCTAGCCCTCAAATTATCCACAGGAACATCAAAAAATCCTTGAATTTCCTTTTGATGGAGATCCATGGTGATAATATGAGTTAGACCACTTGTGCACAACATTTTTGCTAAAAGTTTAGAAACTATGCAGCCACGTTTGCGCATTTTGCACTGCTTGGAATAAGGTAGATATGGAATTACTCCAACAATATTTTTGGCCGATGATGTTTTACAAGCATAGGCCATAATAAGAAGCTCCATTATGTTATTGTTTACATCCTTTGTACCAGTTTGAATCAAAAATAAGTCTTTGCCACGTACAGAATCTCCTATTTCTACCATTGTCTCACGATTTGATTTGTAATATACAGCACATCCACCAGGCTTCACACCTAGACGACTTTAAATATACAAATCATTTTAATTTACATTACATAGAAAAAATTCAAATGATATAATAGATATGATATAATAATAATATAATGATAAAGTACTAAGTTAATTTAAATAACTAAACAAATAATAATTTTTTTAACAATATAGAGAATATATTATTATATATTTAAATTATAAAATAAATAATACAATTACTATACACACACACACACACACACACACACACACACACACACACACACACACACACACACACACACACGCACGCACGCAATAATATAAACTTGTATTTATATTTTAAATCAGTTATTTTTCAAAATATTTAAAAATTATTAGGTCTCTTCTTTTTAATTACACATTCTATATTTCTGTTCAGTTTTCTTCTTTTCTCTTTTTCAATTTGTTATATATTAATCTAATAATTTTGTGAGAGATATAAAAAACAAACTGATTGTATACAATTTGAATACTTGTTCTTGTTATCACAAGAATATATGAAAATTATATCTTGATGATATCTTTAGAGGCAATTTATTATATAACTCACTTTGCAATAAGATTGGCAAGCTCTGGGTGAGAGTTTCCTGCGATAAGAACAATGTCTGATGAAATTGGCTTCTCCATTATTTTAACAATTGTTGACTAGTTGTATAACAATACTGAGGCCTCCAGAGAACTATGGTGAAATCTATAAGAAATAAAGAGATTAATTTTATTTTTCCCTCTTATAAAAAAATTAATTTTACCTTTTTATTTTAAATTAGTGAAATTTTATGAATTTAATTTTACAAATTAAATTCATAATTCCATATTTTAAAAAAAAATAGAAAAATATAAACAAAGATTACATAGGAAAAATTCAAATATAATGATAATCTAAATTTAAAAAAAGGACATTTAATATGGATTTAAAAAAAGAATATAGTATCTTCGATATTTGTACGAATAAATTTATAGGAAAAACGCAAAGTAAAATCGTGAAACATGCATATATATCTATATATATGAAATGTGATTAAGTCTCACTATCTAAACAAACAATCGATCAAACTCCGTTTGATTCGCGCACAATATGTATTTGCGAAATAAATTCCACTTTGCCAATATTATGTATGTAAATTCAATTATGATATCTTACATCTATTTACCTTAGTCAGTCCAGCCACAACTCAATCACAAGAAATAACTTCGCCACTTTACAAAGCTGACCGAAGAAACATGCGACGTCTCTTCTGATTATCCTTGATAACTGTTGATAACTTGGGTTGTGAACATGAACTCCTCTTTGTACACATAACATAGTTTATCCATCCGAAGCATTTTTGAATTAAACATCTAGGTATATTTGTTTATCACATGACTGTCGATAGAAAAAGTCTTTTTTTCTTCATAGATTATATTTAATAGATCACACTTTATAACTTTTTTTAAATTAATATTATTATTTTCCTTTCTTCTTATTAATTTATCATATTTTTTGATTATCATACATAATTACGTATATTTCTGAATTAACAAGAATTAAGAATTTTTTGTTCTGATTGGTCAATCAAACATAACTATATATTTCAAGAAAATTTTGGAACGCAAGGAATGCTTGAAAATTGATCGAACGTTTCACATCTAGATATTCGTTATACATCGTGACTATTCGTTTGACAATTTGTAAAGCCATAGAGTAAAGCCCGTATCAGATTATGCGTTTATTACATCTAGATATTTTTAAGTCGATGATTTAGTAAAAGGAAGTTTGCGAAGACTTTGTCGGCAGTCATTGGGATGATTACAAGTAACTGTCAGATTTAAACCAAGTAGGTTTTTTTATCGAAGAAAAAATTATTGTAATATATAGATAACAAAATACTAAGGATATACCATAAAAATATCTTTTTATATAAAGCAAAAATGTGTTACACGATCTAAAAAATTTATATATTATATGATATAATATGATGATACATATCATAATTGTCAATATCATATGACAATGTCAACGATAATATATGTGTAATCTTTAAAAATTGCAAACTATATTTTTCATCTCATATGAATATAATTTCATGATAGTATAATTTTAGCTTATATTAAAAATTTATATTAAATTTTGAAAACAATATTAATTGTTAAGGCTGTCCTTGAAGAGATTTGTTCTTTAATAAAAATTCATTTAATATTATGGATTCCAAATTTGTTAATTAACGTTATGTTTACTTGTATGCAAAAATAAATGAAGAGAATATGCATACGACACGGACTGACACTTCTGAAAGGCGATTCGAGATACAATGTAAGTTAGAGTCAGAAATTGCTGCTCTGGAAACTCTGAAGGAGGCGGAGGAACGTAGTCGACGATTAACGAGTGGAGTGGTGGGAATACTCTCTTCCCTGGAAGAACGCTTAGCTACACTGCGCCGTACCATACTTCCTGTTTATAATGAGACTGCAAATCTCCAAGCTCAGCAACACAGTATGCATTTGTTTCATTATTCTTCCTTGAATTATAGAATGTTCTAAAATTCTGCCAACTTTCTACTGCAAATTCTTTGATTTTAATATTACAGATATAGAAAAAACTTTAAGCATATTAGATCATGCTATTGGATACTATGGTGTATGTCAAGAAGTAGAAGCTGTAGTACGTGCAGAGCCAAGTGGGCCCAGTGGTTTGGATGGCTTTCTTGAGGCTATGAATCGTCTCTATAATGCTCAACGATACTTCCAGAAAAATAATCCCAGCTCTGTCGAATTACAAAACGTTACAGGGCTCTTCTCAATCGGCCTAGAATCGCTTTATGCCGAATTTCACGATATCCTTAATCGTCAAAGTAGGCCAATTCTTCCTATTGTACTTTTGGATTTGATTGGTTCGGATGAGGATACCAGCGGCGAAGATGCACCACAGTCTCTCTGTCAATTACCTGAAAGCGTTATGAGTGATCTATTTAAAATCGCTGAATGGCTTGAAGAAAGAGGCCAACGTAGACATACAAAAATATATGCTTCTGTACGTTCCGTCATTGTCTTGAGGTCCTTGCTACTGCTAAAAGAGCATCAGAGAAGCGCCAGTGGCGGTAGCACCCACGCCGGAAGTCCTATGCCTGTAAATAGAATATACATTTACATAAAAATATATATCTTTAAAAAATGTTTATTTTAATTTAATCTTACAGAGAGCGAAGTTCGCGAACAGGCATTCCCTGGACGGTCAGGAGAACGCCGGGCGCAGAGCATCGCGACGACTGCAGCATGCTTTGGATAAGGCCAACAGAATGTTGTTGAAAGCGTCGCAAACGACGAGGCTGAATCTGGCCCTGAATTCCGTATCCAGGAAGCCGACGCAGCTTTCACCATATTCTATGGAGGATGCGGCACCTGATGAACAAGAGATGGAGAATTATCTCTTGTTAGCAGCCGGTCTGCATAAACTTATACAAGCCGAACGCACGCTGGTCGCAAGGATTTTACCGCCCTCCTTGCAGGCGCAAGTGCTCGAGGCTACTGTTCGCGACGCGATGGACCTAGTGGCTCACGATGGAGATAGCATAGCTACGCGTGCCAAACGATGCATCACGAGACGCGATTTCTCTGCCGTTCTTGTGGTCTTCCCAATCTTAAAACATCTCGGCGAATTAAAGCCCGATCTTGAAAGAACGGTTGAGGGTTGCGATTACGCGCTCCGCTCAAAATTCGCATCCGTACTTGATACATTACATACAACCGTACGTTTCACATTAATTTCTTTCCTTTTTTTCAATTTAAATTTATCATCTTGTATTATAAGATTTAAATTTCTAAAACTTGAATTAATATAGTTATTCATCTAAAGGAATTTCCTAATTAAACATAAATAACGGTTTTTTCAACGCATATATTTATACACTATATTTCTGAAATCATGCAGTTTTGCTAAAAAAAAATTATTCCAATAGCGTAAAATGGATTATTTATTCTTAAAAAATATTAATATATAATAACAAACTATGAATTAATGTATAATGTAAGAAAAGTATTAAATGGAAACCGATTTCTTCTCAATTTTGTTATTTTAATCACATTTTCGCTCGACTGTTTAAACTAATACTATCAGATTGATAGCAAAGCTTTTTCGTTTTGATGATATTAATTTTATTGTGAAAAAAAAGTCTCATTAATATAAAAAAGGATATACGCGTAACTAACATGAAAATTAAATATTTAATTTTGCAGGGTGCTAAAGCTTTGGAGGAATTTGCAGAGAGCGTGAGAAACGAATCCGGCGCGGGTTTACCAAAAGACGGTACTGTGGCAGAAGGAACTAGTAATGTCTTAATCTTTTTAGAACAATTGGCCGAATATGCAGACATGGCTGGTGCTGTCTTGCGACGCAATCTTTTCATCGATCAGACTGCGTTACACTCGAAAGATCCGGAAAATGTACATAGAATGGTTCTCGGTGTATATATCAGTAAGTTCGTACGATTCTTCCGTGTCATTATTTATTCTACATAAAACTTAATTTGAAGCAGCTATAAAAGAATATTGTTAGTTAATTTTGATGAAATTTGTTTCATCTTTTTACAGAGAAGGTACTCGCTCAGTTGAATCTAGCACTAGTAAATAAAAGCGACGCATCTTACTCAGATCTTGCTTTACGAGCTTTATTCCGGCTGAATAATCACAATTACGTGGTTAACGCTCTCTGCCGAAGTTCCCTCATGGAACTATTGTTACTGGCCGAGCCAAGTGCAGAACAGACGTATAACGATCTACTTTTCAAAGATAAGAACAATTATGTCACTACGACATTCGCCAAAGCGCGATCGTATCTCGCAGATGAGCCAGGTTCGTGTTCTCATGTTAAAAAAAAATTGAGAGAAGTTATAAAAATAAGATTCTAGACATTTCTTTAGCGACATTACATATAGAAAGAAATAACAAACATACAAATACGTTGAGCTCATATTCACATAATGTCATGTATTATATTAATATTATCTACTTTCTGAAACAATGATTGAAGTGTTTAACAATTAGTGGATTTCTAGACTTAATCACATTAATTCTTGTATGTGTTTTTCCTTTGCATCAGATCTTGCCGCCAAAATGTTGAAAGAAAAATTTTTGGGTTTCACGAGAGAACTTGAGGAAGTAGCCAAGTGTCAGCGTTCTTATTCGGTACCTGACAGATGTTTGCGCGAGGAGTTAAGGAAGGAACTGCAAGAAGCTATTGTTCCACTATATACTGTGTTCCATAATAAATATCGTGGCACATCATTCTCAAAAAATCCAGCAAAATATATAAAATATACGCCTGATCAGGTATCTGCACTGATCAACACATTCTTTGATAGTGCCGCATAATAATAGTATACATAATAATAGTATTGTACCGAAGATTATATTTCTTGATAAAAGAAATTAATTAAACTATTTAATGAACATCCATTTTTTAATATATAAAGCATTGGTATTTATGTAGATAGAATCGCTTCCGATTTCAATAATTTTATGTGTTAAGATCTGAATGATGTTATAAAAGTTTTAGCCCGCGTTGTTTATTAATAAGTTATCAACAATAAGAGTTTAATGAATAGAATATAATTATTTTATCATCATACAATGGTTACATAACGTAAATCCAAACCAATTTTTAGCTTCAATAAAAAATAAGTTTAGGTCAGGTTTTATTTTCTGAAAGTGGAGCCCTCCCGTAGGGTAGGAGGGTATTCATACATCAATTATTAATTATAATATTAATTAGATACTTTATACTGTACAGCAGTTAATCCAATTTGACTTCTCTTACATTCTCTTTTTACTTTTTAGAAGATCTAGTCGATTTGCATTTATTGTCTTATTATCAAACTGTTTAGACTGGAAGCTTTGTTCGTGCGAGACAGCACAAAAACTCCTCGATTAATTTCTCTAGGATGCTGGAGGTCACATAAGAATGAATTTATGTATAACGAATTTATGATTTCCTGTATGAAAGCCTCTTGTTTTGCTCGTTGGAAATTTTTCCACTTTGGAAGATGAAGCGAAGTTTATTCTCAACAAAAGAGTCAAGATTAGATATAAAGTGAACTTTGTGCGTGGACACAGTGAGTTACGCTTCCGTCCTACGAGAGATTTTACTTCTGGAAAGTATAACTTTATCCAAATATATTTTTGATTTAAGTCAAATTTTACACATACACAAACACATACAAGCATACATAAGCATATATAGTGAAAATTACAACTTTTAATTATTCCATTTTTGTTGATAACTTGATCAATAGAAAACAAGCGTGGGCTAAAACTTTTATAACATTACAGAATGTGTATCTTGATCAAATGTGAAAATTATATATACAGGGTGGGCCATTTTAAGTGATCCACTCCAATAACTTTTTTATATTTGAATGTACAACAAAATGTTTCAAATAAAAGTTGCTTGACTTCGAGGGGGACAGAAGATGGGTGGCAAAAATTTGACCTTGGATAATCATTTGAGGGTCACATAAAAGTTATCTTCAATTTCTTAAATGGAACCCCCTATTTTTCATTGCATATTCTTATAGCTTATCTCGAGAGCTTTCCAAAACACTATAATTAAGTACTTTTTGAGTTATAAGGCTTGAAATAATTTCTTAATTTTACATAAACCATAAAATATCTAGTAAACCATTCATTTTTCGATTATCTTACTTTGATACTTTTATGTACAAAATAATGAGAGGAATCAATTGGTGTAAAGAAAACACATAGTTGTTTCTAAGAAAAAATATGTAATTTGCAATTAACAATTCCATATTTTTTCTTAAAAACAACTGTATGTTTTCTTTACACCAATTGATTCCTTTCATTATTTTGTATATAAAAGTATGAAGGTAAGACAATCGAAAAATGAATGGTTTATGTAAAATTAAGAAATTATTTCAAGCCTTATAACTCAAAAAGTACTTAATGAAAAGATACTTAATTATAGTGTTTTGGAAAGCTTTCGAGATAAGCTACAAGAATATGCAATGAAAAATAGGGGGTTCCATTTAAGAAATTGAAAGTAACCTTTATGTGATCCTCAAATGATTATCCAAGGTCAAATTTTTGCCACCCATCTTCTGTCCCCCTCGAAGTCAAGCAACTTTTATTTGAAACATTTTGTTGTACATTCAAATATAAAAAAGTTATTGGAGTAGATCACTTAAAATGGCCCACCCTGTATATGTAATAATAAAATATAATAATTATAATATTAATATATTTAATATATATTATATAATAAAATATTATATAATATTAATAAAATTATTAATATATGTGTGAAAATTAAGTCGGAAGTGGCTTTATCTGCATAATTACCAAGGCATATTTCATTACAATAGTTTTATGATTCTTTTCATATGGACCAAATCTCTTTTCTTTATTTCTTGTTTTCAAACAGATTGCACAGAGATTAATAAATGAGTGTGCGAGCAGTTAGTTGGTAAAGAGTAGGTCTTAATTCAGCTCTCCCCTTTTCTCTTCGCGCCGTCTTTTTTATATATATTTATAATATATATATAAAAAACAAGTAACGTTCGATTTAGATTCGATCAGCGCGACTTTTATATATATTTATGTATATGACTCATATTATCACACATTTATACGTATATACATTATGTATAAAATCGCATATTATGTGGTAATAAGAGTAGGAATACATTTGAAGTTCAGCATTTATATACAATTGTTATGTTATAGCATATTCTTTCTTTCTTGTTACATATACACTCGTACTTTTTGTATTCTTTCTCTCCTTCACACTGATAATTTTTCACTCTCTCACATCATCCTCTCACACATATTCTTTCATACAGAACATTCACACAATTCTCTGCTTCAATAGCTATATCTTGTTTTCGAGATAATAACAGCAATATTCTTTTTAATTCCGGTCTGATAACACGACAGTTCCTGTAAAAAAATGCATATCGCATGTAATCACAGGTCATATCGTGTATGATACATTTGCAAATGAAGCAGAAAAATCTGCAAATTTTATAATTTTATACTTATATCACATACATCTAAAGAACTCTTGTACAATAGTTAGCTATCCCTTAAATTATGGTATGTAACGTTTATAGTAATTATAATGTTTATGTATAATTGTTAACCAATTTAGTGGAAGAAGGAAGCCATGTTATGCGGCCGCTGCGCTATTGATTCCGCTTGGAAAATGTATAGCTATTAGACATTTTTTTAAATTCATATCTAACATCATTTTTGTATCTCATTATGAACTTATATCAAATCAAAAATATCGTCAAACTATTATACGAACAGAATTTAAATATGGGACATGTACACTTAACATTGAGTGACATCTGATTACACATCTAATGTCTTCAATTAGATTTTATATACAAATTCTTAAAGAAATCTGGGATTTTAAACGAATAAACTTTGTTGATGTGAGATTTTCAACAGCTAACTCTCTTTACAAAAGCAATCTTGTCAAAAGCTCTGAAGCTTTTAACATATTGTTAATGAATATTTGAATAAAAAGAAAACTATAGTTGCTCTAAGTACTTGGAGAAATGTATGCGTGTGAAATTACTCTCTTTTCTCTGTTATTCACATTTATAATGAACATCTAGATGAATATCGTCCAAACAGATTTGCCATGTACTCTATGCATATCTCTAAAAAATATTTTCTCTCTCTTCAAATTTATATCTTGATACATATATTGCAATTTTTTCGCAATAAGGAAAAACTACTGTTTTCTTTTCTTTTTTTAAATATGTTAATTATATATGTCCTACCTAAAATGTACAATGGCAAATAGCATAAAATGGTTTTCCTCTTTGATTAAACTGATCAGTATACAATCAATGTTTGGACGCTTATACAATTATATAGTAATATTTGCTTCTTTTACCATTCATACATAATTATTAATTATAATATTAATTAGATATTCTAGTATACTGTACAGCAGTTAATTCAATTATTTTGGCTTCTTTTACACTCTTTTTGCTTAGAACATCCAGTCGATTTGCATTTATAGCCCTATTATCAGACTGTCTAGACTGGAAGCTTTGTTCGTGTGAGACAGCACAAAAACTTCTCGATTAATTTCTCATAGGATGTTGGAGGCCACATAAAAATGAATTTATATATTCCAAATTTATTTTCTTGCGTGAAACCCTCTTGTTTTGCTCGCTGGAAATTTTGTACCGAACTAGTATTTGTGCGTTTATGCTGGCAGATGTTTGCAGCCTGTTGACGCTGGCATAGGCTGGTACAACTGGGGTTCCAAATGTCGGTAACTTGTCCGATTGATTCGATTCGAGTTTGGTACACTGGAGATGAGACAATGAAACACTTTAACACATTCCAGTACCAACGTGCAAAGAGGGATACATTTAATATTATAGAAGGAAACATCTGCGCTTTGGCTTCACTTGCAGAACAGGGCACAATACAGCGCGTATCGCTTCATCAAACACAGTCTTCAAACCTTTCTGCGTCAGAGCAGAGCATTCCAAGTATTTGACAGCACCAATCTCTTTCGCCATAGCTAAACCCTATGAATAAAACATATACTTTAAAATATCAGTATTATAAACATTTCTAATAAGTTATTGCACATTAATTGCAATTTTATTGTTCATATATTATTTTTATAATTATTATATTTATAACACAATTTATTTTGTTATATAAATAAAAGAAATAAATGTTTTTTTATTATTTATGTATATCTTCTAATTTTTTGATATATATTTTCTTATTATCTATGATGTATATTTTTTGATCGCTTGATCGTATTAAGCTTTTATATCATTGGCATTATATAATTGCCAAAGGAAAACAAACCTGAGGGTATGTGATGGGAGCTAGCTTCTTGTCCTTAAGACGTTCAATAGTCTCTTTATCTTCACGCAGATCCAATTTGGTGCCAACCAAAATAATTGGAGTGGCAGGACAATGGTGACGTACTTCAGGATACCATTTGGCGCGAACGTTTTCGAAGCTCGCCGGATTCACCAGTGAAAAGCAAATCAGAAAGACATCAGTTTGCGGATAAGACAATGGCCGCAGTCTGTCATAATCTTCTTGTCCCGCTGTATCCCATAAACCGAGATTAATCGGCTTCCCATCAACCATTACATTTGCGGAATAATTGTCGAACACCGTTGGAATGTACTCCCCAGGAAATGCATTGGTGGTATAACTTATCAGCAAGCATGTTTTACCAACAGCACTAGAGAACAGAGAAAATAAATAATAATTCAATCTAATATTCTTCCAATTAGATGATTAAACCGGTTTGGTTTTTCACGGTAGAAGAAAAAAGAAAAAAAAACATGCAATAAATGTACTCATTAATAGATGAATCATTGTGCGAAATGTAAGATTCGTAAGACTATTCCGCGAAAAATGGGATATTGGAAGGATTTGTCAGCGAGAGGATCTCGATTCATATTCGAAACGTTACGAAGGACCGATTAGCTTCTAATTAGAAAAGCTAAACATCAAATCGAGGCCACGATTTTACGCGCTACGTCGAGCAAAGCGTGCGACAAAAAAATATGACGTCCTCGCGAAAACACGCGTGCACACGTCAACGTCGTTTCACGGTCCCGCACGGGCGTGGTGGGCACTCGCGTGCTGGATATTGCGTTCGCACTCGGGAATGATATCGAGGCCATCGCGAGCCCTGGAGCGCTTCGGCGTCCAAGAGGTAACAACCGGATTCGCTCGACGATCGTTCCTGCGGGCTCGAGCGGCGGCGGCGCGGATCCTTTCGCGAGGTTCTCCCCGCTCCGACCGAGCTTCAATTTTGACGAAACGACGTTTCTCGGGACGATTTTGCGTTTTACGTACCCGTCACCGACGACCACGCACTTGATAGCTTGCATCCTGGATACCTGGAGTCGTCCGTAATGCACACGGGAGCACGTAAAATCGCGCAACGATGATACACCGATGTAGCCGATTTCAGCGGGAGGGAAAGAGAAGCCCGAGTGAGAAGAGAGGGAGGAGGAGGAAGGGAGGGAGGAAGGAGGGAGGGAGGGACGATATAGGCGGGAGAGGAAGAGACAAACGGCGCGATACGTACAACGCGACACAGGAAGAGGGCAGTGGCGGCAGCGGAGGAGGAGGAGGAAGAGGATGAAGAGAAGAGAGAGGAGCGCGGCAGAGGGGAACGAAGGTGCGGTAAAGAGAAGAGGGCGAAGGAAGGAAGCGAGAGCGAGATGACTCGCGTGACGGATACGACTGAGAGGTTAGAGCGTGACAGAGATATGCGAGAGCAACGCGATGAACCCCCGTGACTGATTGGTCGGCCGACTGGTCAAGCTAACTGGCTGCCTTTGGAGCGGTCCGGAGGCGCACACCATGAAGAGAAATGCCATCGACGGTCGCAGCGGGAGGTAAAGTATACACACACACACATACACACGCATAAGATATAAAATAGTCGCGCGATCTCTCCTCGAGACCTCGAGATTTTCTCTTTATGATTCTCTATACGTGATGACAAAGCGCGATACGTGCGAAGCTGCAAACGAGTACCGATATTCGAGCATCGATACTTTTATGCTGTTCATGATGTCGATATCGCGAACATTTTGTTCATCGATCTCGATATCGAAATGCATTAACCAATCGGAACTCTTGATGAATATCTGCGCGCTGATTGAAGTGACATTTTTTCAGTATCGAAATTTGACACTCTTGTCATTTCTCTAGGTTATGTTTTATTAATAATTAATAAAATATTAATATAAGTATATGTAAAGAGAGAAAGATAGATTTCTTCATGAATGTGCGGCTCATAAATTATAATGCCACGGAAATTACGTATTATGTTTGCAACTGCGACAACGCTAGGTTTATGTATCATAATATTTCAGGTATATGAAAAACCATAAATTACAAATTAATTAAACTTTATGACTGTGTAAGTCTAGTGACTAATTAATTTTGGAAATTTTCAGTTACGTTTAATTCTTTACGATCGCACGAGATTGTCTTCTTCAGGTAATTCACATTATACTTTTTTTTTCAACAATTTGAAAGTTAATTTTTATAATCACTTAATCATATCTAGATGATGATATACCTGTTGTATTATGGTGGACTCCATTTGGTAATAACAATCTAGTGAAAACTTGCGGAAATGCTAAATGTTACTTTACACACAATAGAGCATTTGAAAACAACATACGCTTGAAAGTACAAGTTCTCTTTTACATTTCTTAAATGCAATATCTTCTAAAGCAAAAGTCTGAATATTATATGTGTATTTATTAATTTTTATAGAGTATTTTATTTTATGGAAGTAATCTTCATATTCATGATTTGCCTAATTGGAGGAGTAGCTCTGTATCATGGGGTTTACTTCATGAAGAATCTCCTAGAAATAATCCTATACTCATCCATGAGAAAACACTTAATCTTTTTAATTATTCTTCAACCTTTAGCAGATTTAGCGATGTACCACTTACGCTTCTTGATTTATTCAGTTTAAAAGATTTAATAGGTAAATAAAGAGAAAAATTTATAAATTTATAATAAACAAAAATAATTTCCAAGCTTCCATTTTTTGCTACTAAAAATGTAAGAACAAGATATATTTTTATAGGAAAATCATATTATGTGTCTACCAAAGAGAAGTCTGCATTGATACATGCAAAAAATTATGCACCAGTATTATACATTCAATCTGACTGTGATACCGCTAGCGACAGGGATCGTTATGTCTTAGAATTAATGAAATACATTCGTATTGATTCCTATGGTACATGTATAAATAATGCTCGTCTTGAAGACAGGTATACATATACATTATTTTTCATACAATTTTTATATTGTGAATTGTTAAATTAATAATTATCAGACAAAATATATCAATTTAGGTTCAAGAATAACTATTTCGATATTTTAAATAATCGTGAATTCTTATCTTTTGTGGCCAAATACAAATTTACTATAGCTTTCGAAAATGCGATATGTAATGATTATATCACAGAAAAATTGTGGAGGCCACTTATTGTTGGCTCTGTACCTATATATTATGGGTCACCATCCTTTAAGGTATTCTATATTAAAAGTGTATGTGTGTGTGTGTGTATCATAACTCTAAGATTGATACAAATTTTTCTAATTTTACAATTTAAATTTTTCTAATTTTAAAAATTTAATCCATCTCAGACATCTGATTTTGTAGGATTGGCTCCCAAATAATAAATCCGCCATCTCGATATTAGATTTTACTAGCCCAAAAGCACTTTCTGATTTTTTACACAAACTTGTGAAAAATGATTCTGCATATGAGGAATATTTAGCTCATAAATTAAATAAACGCGAGTATCGCGTTACAAATAGTGCATTACTACGTGCACTTGAAAGAAGATCGATGACCTTACCTTATGAGTTTGGAAATTATATGGAAGAATTTGAATGTTTTATTTGCGAGCAAATACAGAATAATTGCGAATCAAAGATACGTAAGGTAACAAGAAAACAATACGATTGTCCTCTACCGAGAGATCCTATAACAGGTGGAATCAGTAAACGCAATTGGTGGATAGATCAATGGAATATCGAGAAATGCGGAGCTAAGCTGTTAGCTCACTATATAACTAATAATATCAGCATTAATACAAAACATTTTAATGAACAAAAGATGAATATGTACGATAATAATGAATGTTGAGATACATATGAAACAAGGAAACAGTTTTGCAAACAATTTTGATAATATAAATACTCGATTATTTTATGAACTATATTAGGAATATGAGTATAAAATGAATGCGTATATAAATGTTTAAAGTATTTCTTTTCGTTATATATGATATTATAGAAATTTTATATATTTATACATTTATTCTGTACAAAATAATGTGATAAAAATTGTGAAATGCATTTTACAAAATGTATACTTTATCATGTACATAAGAAAAAAAAAAGAAAAAATATTGTATTTTAAAATAGTATATATTTACAACGTTTTCAAACTTTAAACGATATTATTACGTTTAGTTTATATATAATTTATGAGAAATATCAGAATTTCTCTGCCATAATTTAACATATTAATAATTTAATTCCGTCTCGTTTTTTATGCCATGTAAGAAATAAGATAATTTAAAAAAATGTTAAGTTTCTTTTATATATTAAGTTAGACTTTCTCTCAATTCGTTGATTTTATTTGCAAAACTGGAGCAGGTACTTTCATTAACTCACACAAATGATTTCTGATCGGACGTAAATCTGCAATTGGTTGTTCCCAATCTGTGGCATTCAATATTGTAAGTATATTTGTCAAATCTTCCTCTGTTATATCTATCTCCTCTCCATAAAGAGTTAATGCTTCATAAATACGAATAGCCGTTGTCTTTCTCAAGCTTGTATATTTATGACACAAAAATATACTCAATTGACAAAATGCTCTTTCTGCAACCGGACCTCGTACCTAGAGATATGATATTTAATACAAATTATTTAATTATTTTGATAAAGTCATTTATTATAAACTAAATAAGTTCTTAGTTGTTAAATAATTAAATAAAATAATGAATCATTATATGAAATATCCTTTTACAAACCTGTAGTAACTGACAGAAAACATTTATACTACTAATAAGTAGTTTTATATTGCCAGAATATTTTATTTCATGTTTTAATAATACTAATATGCGTTCTGCGATTGTATTATTTGCGTCATCCAAAACAGATTGAATACAACCTGAACTCAATAAACGATCTAAAAATGCGAACATCGATGTTATCATCCTTTCATTTTTATGATTTTCCTCAAATATGTTTAATATTTTCTCGCATAGATCTTTCAAACCAGTCTCGTCAATCTCTTGTAGATAAGTAAACAAAGAAACACTTGAGTATTTTACCTGATAGAAGAGAAATATTTAATTATAAACAAATTGATTGACACTATTATTAAAATTAAATTAAAATGTTGATACTCTCTCCTCTTTATCAAATAAATAAGCTTTCATAGATGTTATACTTAATAAATAAATTGAATAGAGAGTATTATTTACATTAAATATACCAATTATAAGATTTATTATGATTATTTATATTAATTATACTAAAGATTATATTTATATTAAATATACCAATGATTCGCTTATGCCGCCGACGCTGAATATAATTCCGCGTAACAAATTTATTTTATACGGTGGGAAACTTAACATCTTAATAAATCGTGGAAATGTTGCAGACTCCATTCTCCATTCAATAGTCTCCTTACATTCGTTATAGGGAAATATACCTTTTAACTCGTCGTGATATGGAATATTCGGAAGTGGTGGATCGCTATAAAGAGATGTAATAGTAATTAATTTTGCGAATTAAAATGCTTTACATATTAATATTACACATAATTGGCAAGATTAATTACATATATACATATACATTTTTTTTACCTGTATATAAGCGCGCTAAATACAATACCAGCTTGAGCTCGAATTCCATCTATTCTTTCGACGGCCTGCTGTGCGATACCACCGATGATACTAGCTATCAAGTTTTCATTCAAGATGGACGATAGTTTTGCCTGCGATACTAAGTTTGTCAATATCTATAATAATATAGACATTTAGTAAATTAATTTAGTAATTAATTTATTAATTTAGTAATTAATTCCAATATATATTGTGTTGACGATATATTATGATCTCAAATTATTTTTCCATAATAGAATATTTCACGCACATGTAATCCATTCATAGCTGCTTCTCGCACCCAAGCGCCTATATCTCCACGACTATCTATTGTATATTCCTTAAGAGCTAGCAGGTAACAATCATACAAATCTGATACAAACAATCGCCATTTATCTGAAAAAATTTGTCCATTGTTTAAAATATTTTCATTCTCAGTAAAAACTATGGATATTGCTAGAAAATCATATATATCAGTAAAAGATTGTCATAATTTGAGAAAGTTTTATCTTTTTCTATAATTTATATTCCAAATGCATTAATTTCTTTGAAGAACAAGCCTTTTGTGTTATGACAGAAATATAATGACAAGTTGTACTATATCTCGAAATAAATAAATATATTTACCTGCTTCATCAATTCCTAATGTTTGCAATATCATGGTTAAAGAGTGTAAAGCTTCTTTTCTACTCTCCGCCCATTTCAACGTATTCTCGGATATGTGAGTACACGCGATTAATGCCTCTATGATGTCTTTTACTCTTTCACGAATTATAAATAATGGAAAATGTCCTTTTAAGTAATAAAATAAATAAATATTATATACCTGATAGAAGTAAATTTAATATTTTGCGTTTATTCTCTCATTTACCTATTGCCTGTGCAAATCCTATTCTAATCTGATTGCTTGATTGCAGAGACTCTAAATAACGATTAATCACAGCACTTCGAGCATTATAGTCAATGTCTATATAATATTCTACAAAAAAATTTGTGTGCGCTTCAGCTGCTTTTAATTTAACTGCCGATACCTCATGACTTAAGCATTCTTCCAATAATTTCTCCCAGTCATCTACATTATCCATAATGTGAATATTAGTATATTAAATATAAAAATTCAACTTTATAAGGAAAATCTTGTTTCATAATTATTAATACATACCTACAATATCTGTGAAATGAATTGGAAAATGAACAATGGAACATTTTTTTATTAGCACAGCACAAGCTTGTTTCATCAATTCTCCACCAAGCCCTTTAAATTGTCCTCTACTTCTGAACGTTCTTACTATATCCTGTATATCAGCTACAGCTGTGGATCCTGAATAAAATTGCTTTGTTTTGCTATAGATATTTAGAGAAAAATAGAAAACTAATTTGCATACATATAATCCTATAAATTCTCACCAATAATATTTTCAATTTTATCATTAAAATGATTGTGCAAAGCTTCGAGAATCTCCGTGGTAGCTAATACCGCACCATGTCTAACGTTTAAATCGATAGAATTTAGCATGTCCAACAGAGTTGGTAGTACCGTATTTACCATATAATGTGGATCAGCTGCTGTCAGGTTGAAAAGCGACTGTAACAAATTATTAATAACATATGCAGAACTAAACGTTAGTAATATTCAGTAAATTGTACATTTAAATTAATATTATTAATAAATAAATTAATATTATTAATAAATAATTTTCAGACTTACTCTAGCTGAAAGCTCTCTAATTGCAGTGTCCCAATGAGTAACCTTTTTTGCAACTAGATGATCTATCAAAGGCTTCGTATATTCTTCGTATTGCGCGATTTGGACACTAATAAAGATAATATTACAAGTATTGATTACATATAAGAGTCAGACTATTTAATATGTTAAAATATTTGATGAATTTTATACCTGATCTTAAGATACGTATGACTCCTTACACCAACTTCAAAATAATCAGCAACAGTCAATATATCTATACCATGTGGAAAGTTGCCCTGCCTGCCAACATTTTCTTGAAATGCGGCGGATGCTGCCCTCCTGCAGTTTATCTATCGATGCAATATCGCATAATACATAAATAATATAAATGTCATGCAAATAGTGATTATTGTATGATGATTTGTACTTCTCTGTCAAAGCATGTCACCACTAATAGCATTGCCGCAATTTCTTTGACATAAGGCTCGAAAACATGTGGATCATAGGCTCTTGGAAAAGACCAGCATATATAACAAGCAGCGTCTCTAATCAGATAGCCAATGGATCCGTAAGCTCTAGGCTCGTCAAAGACTAAGGCTTGCAAAACTACGGGAATAACATCGCTCAAACGATGAGGCAATAATAGGCCACGTCTCCCTGAAATAAAAACATAATAATGTTAGTGATGAATAAAAATCATTATACATATCTAAATGATATCTTTACCGAGTTCCGCAAGTGCTAAACAACCACCGTGCCATGCAGAATCTGATTCACGCCCGGAAAATAGATTCAACACAAAGCCTAATACATCATCGGCTAAGTCTACCGGCAATCTCGCTGTTATCTTGCCGATACCTTTTGCTGCCGACCATCTATATCATTATATCTAATTTAATATTTTATTTCTAATAAATATTATAATTATAGTATGTAAACTAGCATATACATACCTTATAGTAATCACTTTATCTCGAAGACTTTGTATAAGTTGTTCTATTATATCTTCGATAGCCGGGGGAACTTCTTGATCTTCATTATCATTTGAAATAGTTTTTGTAATATCAGTAACATTATCAATATTATCAATATTATTTACTTGAATATTAGGCATAATATTTATTGGCCGACTCATTTTCTGATAGCGCCAGGATGCTACTTTTGTTTTTAATAATACCAAACCTACCAGATATTGTTAATTAATTTTTATTATAAGAAATAAACATATATTATAAATAAAATTTGAGTTTTTCTGCATACCTATGCGTTGAATAACTTTTGTTTCAAACTTTCTAATAAGATCTGCTGGATTGTCATTTAATCGAAGTTTCAATATATTATCAAGAAGCATTTGACTATATGGCTTAACATCTTCTCTGGCACTATGTTTTAATATGGAAGCTATTACAGCTAGAGGTCCATGTCTTAAAGGATCATTTTCTATACACTGAAAAAAAATATTGCAATAATATTTCAAAAGTATATATTACTTTTTTACAATGATTATATTTTTTGTATAGAAATATCTATATTATAATATATTGTATATATTGTTATTCAATCTCTAATACTAATAATATTTAACATCATTAAAAGAGCATTACCTTTAAACACCACATGATCATCTCTTCCAAATATAATTTCTTGACATCTGATCTTGTCAAAAAATTTGCTATTAAAAACACAGCTGCTACAGCACATGCATCTCTTGATAAACAATATTGTTTACATATTTTTAAAATTCTGAAAAATAGATTGACAGATAAGATTGACATATCTTACTATCTATTTTAATAAGTTTTGTTTCATATATTTTATACAGATATGACAATATTATTACCTGACAATAATAGTTTGCTCTGGATCTACATTCTCTGAAGTCTCTAAGCGACATAAAGGAAATGGTATTTTGGAAATAATAGATAACCATATGAGCAGAACATATCTGGTTTCCCATGTCTCTACATCATTTGGATCTTGCTTCTCAAGCATTCTTAACACAGGTAATAGATCCACTACCTCGTGTGGAAGATAAGTAACAATCTTCTTATACGTTTTCACAGACATAATAATAAATAAATATTTAAATGTATTATGCTTGATGGTTTCCCCACAATCATTGTCCTTGATAATTGACAGCAAGGGGCCCAAAATCCTTTCGAGATAAGGATCCAGTAGCTGATGCTGATCCTGATACTGGGACAAAATAAAATTGAAACGATCTCTATTTCTCTCGACGAGACTTGGTGGTAAATCCGGTTTCTTCAATTCCGTCATCAGAGCGATCACTTCATCCATCTCTTTGAATGCGCTAAAGCCGCATCCAACTCTCTCGGGGTCCGGGCAATCCTTCAACGCCATTGTATGCAAAAATTATCTTTGTCAAATTCTCGAATTTGCTATCCACACACGTTCATATATATACACGATTTTCGTGTAAATTATAAAAAGAATTGCGTTACAAGTCGTTTACGATCATAGCATAACCAATATATGCATTAATTTTGACTTTTGACAACTACGCACTTCCTCGTCTCGAACAAACGAATATCTAGAAATACCACTTTACCTTCATTTTAGACTGTTGTCCAATTTACTTCTTGGAATCAGAGAGAAGACTGAAGGCCGCAGCACATAGGGCCTATCCAGACAAACTTGCATAGGTGCATATGCATAAGGGTGCGTTTTCACTTGACGCTAAAAAGTAGCGTCAACCATTGGTTGAACAATGAAGCAACTACTTACTTCTTTGTTCAACCAATGGTTGACGCTACTTTTTAGCGTCAAGTGAAAACGCACCCTAACATAAGACCATATGGACCAATGAGCATCGAGTATTATGTTATATAAGTCAATATGGCGACTTAATACTCGATGCTCATTGCTCCATATGATCTTATGTTATGCATATGCACTTATGCAAGTTTGTCTGAATAGGCCCATACTTTTGCATAAGCGCATAACCATAAGGAAATTGATTGGTCCCCAAGTATATGCATAAAGGTGCGGCCTCATTGACGCTAAAAAGTAGCGTCAACCATTGGTTGAACAAGGAGGTAAGTATAGTTGCTTCATTGTTCAACCAATGGTTGACGCTACTTTTTAGCGTCAATGAGGCCGCATCTTAAGAAAACCAATCAATTTTCTTAAGCGGCCTTTTCATTGACGCTAAAAAGTAGCGTCAACTATTGGTTGAACAAAGAAGTAAGTAGTTGCTTCTTTGTTCAACCAATTGTTGACGCTACTTTTTAGCGTCAATGAAATTGTACCTTTAGCTTATAGTTATGCGCTTATGCAAAAGTGGGCGTGTTCCAAAATTCACTGTCAGCGTTGAAAATAGATAGTTCACGTTACGTATATTATATATTTTCAGCGCAGTGAATTTTGGAACATAGGCTTGTGTGTGTGTGTGTGTGTGTGTGAACGTGATTGGCTTTTATCTTTAGAACCAATGAATCAACGTTGCATGTTGGCAAGACAACCTAACTTAACATTATTTATGCCATTCTACTACCTTACTACGTTCTACGTTTTACTAGCAAAATCTAATTAAAGAAATTAAGAAAATTCACGTTAATTGAATTGAATCTGATTAAATTGTGATATACAGGAAGGATTTGTTAATAGTATTTCTTCTTGAATGAGAGGAAATTAATTTACTAGTGCAAAAGCGTATATATATAAAACTTAGCTTCTATTTATATAAATACTTCAACATTTTTATCCATATAATATAGCAGGATGGACATTCTAAAGGCAGTGATATTGCAGAAACGTAAAGAATTAGAAGACAGTCATGTTTTGGTATGTTACATGTTATATTTTATGCAATTTAATGATTATAATTACATGATGTGATCGTGCGTCAATATTATAACAAAGTATTTTTTTTATAGGACAATAATAGAAAATATTTTAAAAGGAGTCGCTTAATATCAAAGCAACAGGAAGTGCACGAAATTGATAAAGGAAATAATGAAACTGCTCCATCAAATGATAGCCGACAGTCAGAGGAATCAGTAACAGACAGTAGTTCCGAACATTTGCTATCTAGACAAGAAGTAATTAGACGGTTACGTGAACGAGGAGAACCTATATTATTATTTGGTGAATCTGAGATAGAAGCATTTAAGAGATTAAGGAAATGTGAAATTTTGGAGCCAGAAGTGAATAAGGTAAAGCATATTTCTTTATATACATATATAAATCATGTTTCTCTCTCTCTCTATATATATATATATATATATACATATATATATATATATATAAAATTTCTATTAATTAAAGTCTTCTCAAAGAATACATTTTTATTATAATAATTCATTAATAGGGCTTCAGAAATGATTTTCAAGAAGCAATGGAACAAGTGGATCAAGCATATCTCAATGAGATTTTGACATCTTCCAAATCTCAAAGTCTTGATGGAAAAGGAGATGTAAATGTACCTGATGAAGGTGTTACTTATGAAGATATAGAAAAAATGTCCACTAAATTAAATAAAGGAGACAAGGACTTCGATATGAGCGTAATTACTCTGTTTGTACAGTATCTTGTTCAGATGTGGGGCATTCAATTAAACAGTAGATCAACCGCCGAAAAGATGAGCTCAAAGGGGAAAATGAATAGTGCAACATATGCTCAAACAAGGGAATATTTAAAGCCACTTTTGCGAAAGTTAAAAAATAAATCTCTTCCAGAAGATATAACCGACAGTTTAACAGAAATTGTTAAACACTTACTAGAACGTAATTATATATTGGTATGTATCTGATTATATATGTGTATGTTGTAATATATAATGCATCAGTCAATGGTACAAGTATAATAATATAGCAAGTAAGCCCTTGTACAATAATAATATGATTATTTTATAATATATAAAAAACACGAACTGTTTTTATTTCAGGCTAGCGACGCCTATTTACAAATGGCTATAGGTAATTCTCCATGGCCAATTGGTGTAACAATGGTTGGTATCCATGCACGTACTGGTAGAGAGAAGATCTTCTCAAAAAATGTCGCTCATGTTATGAACGATGAGACTCAAAGGAAATATATTCAAGCACTTAAGAGACTGATGACCAAGTGTCAAGAATATTATCCTACAGACCCTTCGCGTTGTGTAGAATATTCAAAAAATTAAGTTTTTTTTTAAGTTTTTTATATGTAAAATAAAAAGGCATTGTAAATTTGTTGTACATGTTTGTAGATGTAACTATATTATTATTATTTTATTATTAGGAACATCTAGATTAACATAGATTAATATAGATTAATATAGAAACATTTAAGAGATAAATCTATTAGTTTGTAATTTTTGAGTAATTAATGGAATGATGTGTATATATATTAATTTTACATATTTTTTGTGATAAATAAACCACTGAGTTTTATAAAATATGAAATTATATTTACATAAAAATAAAACTGAAAATTATATACATTTCATGACATCATACTATTATTATAGTCTATAAAGCTGCTAAATAAAATATTTAAGTACAAAGAAATGGCTTGATCAAAAGATGCGAAGTAATATTGTTTATTTACTAACTCTAAAAATTATTTCAAAATATTAACTATTGATTTAATTGAGCACTATTTATTTAATTGAGAAGCTAATTCATTTGCTTTATTTGCAGCAGCCTCAACAGCATTCATCATAGATCCTCTGCATTGAATTAAATCATAATTATTTAAAAATTACATGATTAAATAAATAAAATAATTTATAAAGTACCTGACTCCTCCTTTTTCCATAGCATGAACACCAGCAATGGAATTACCTCCAGGCGAACAGACTTCATCCTTTAACTGACCAGGATGTCGTCCAGTCTCTAGTACCATTTTTCCAGCACCTACCAGCACTTGTGCTGCAAATTTAGTTGCTATTGGCCTTGGCACACCCATCCTCACACCTCCATCTGCCAATGATTCTATAATGAGGTATGCCTAAATACAAATTAAAAATTGTACATAATACAAATTATTTATATGCATCTCTAATTCAGCAATACTATAATAACTTACAAATGCTGGACCACAACCTGATAAACTACCAATGGCGTTTATAGTATTTTCTGGAACACTTTGGCTTATACCAATATAGGAAAATAATGTATCTACTAGTTCTAAATCTTTCGGCTCAGCATTTTTACTGCAATAAACTAAAAATTACATTTGTATTAACACAAATTAATCTGCATTTGATACACTTATTTTCTGACATACCTGTAATTCCCTCTCCAACCATCATAGGTGTATTTGGCATAGATCTAATTATCCTTGGTGAAGTTACAACAGCAGACAGTTTCTAGAAAAATTTTATATATTAATTGTTATAAAGATTGAAATAATATTACACATGTTATATAAAATATTTTGCTTACAGTATGCAAAATTTCAAGAGATACTCCAACGAGCACTGAAATAAATAGCTTATTCTCAAACTTTTCAGCTTTTTTTTCTACAATAGTGTTAAGCGCATCGTCAAGCATATGTGGTTTTACTGTCAAAAATATGATATTACAGTTGTTTGCAACTTCGTTATTTTTCAATGTTGGATGCGCACCTAATTCCCTCCAAAAGCTGTGCGTTCTATCCGTACGACCGGAAACCCAAACGTTATCTGGATTCAATATACCTGTTGAAGCATGTATGTATTATTGTTTTTGTATTATCTTAATTTTTCATTTATCTTGACAGAGAGGGAGAAGAAAGTGCAATTACCTTTGTGAATTAATCCAGCGCCTATAGCACTAGCCATATTTCCGCCTCCAATAAATCCAACTTTAATCGATTTTAAATACTGTTCCATCGTAAAATTATTTGTATAAATTATCGAATATATTAAATAACTTAATGCTGAAACAATAAATGATTCCACTAAATGCCACGCGATCGTATATACATGTATATATAATTATATATATATATATAAGATCACACACGCTACGAATTAATCTAGACCATGAATCATATGATATAGATAGTTACGTAATATTGATAAGTCGGCTTTTTAAATTTATGATCTTTGCGATGTGCTTTCAAATGACAACGTCATGACATTTTTGGCGATTAAAAATCAGTACAACAAATTAAGCATTAGAAAAAAGAAATAAATATCACATATTACAAATTCATGACAAAATCACATATTACATATTATACACAATTATATGAATTCTTCGACTAATTTAATTATAAGAATACATTAAGAATTTTTTACAACGTGGATTTTATATTTTAACATAAATTAAATTTCGTTTACAAAATTTGCATACACAGATAATACTGCTAAAGATTGTAATTTAAGCGCATATTTTACATATGTATTTAATGTAATGAATATTTATGTAACAAACGTCCCGACTGATTTCTTAATTACATTTATTTTACATGGAAAACACATTCGCACATGTTCATTCTTCAAAAAAGTACATACATGTCAAACTCGCATTACATAATTTCAGACCATTCAAAATTGCACTACAGCAAGTATACAATTGATGTCGTCAATTAATAAGAAGAAAAAACGCATTGCATTCTCCAACTTCTTTTAAATTATACAATAGAATCTTTTTTTCTTTCAGTCTCTTAGCTTTCAGAAGAAAACTTTTTAATTAGACTGTATTGAAAAAAGACAAAGACACTCGACTTCGCTCTCTTTTTCGGAGAAATTCGCCTTATATATATATATATATATATATATATATATATATATATATATATATATATAAAGCTCAATGTGTATAAAATAGTGTATATTGATGTATACACTATTGTAGTATATATGATGTATAATACCTAGAATTAGCTATAATATGTGTCATATGTACGTGTGTGTGTGTACATACATGTAATAAATGACAGAAGTCTGCGGAAACACAATTAATTTTTCTTTTAACGATGGGTAATTGCATCAGGAGCATGTTAAGGAGGCTGAAAAGGAATCGCGGCATGGAAAAGTACGCATTATTTATGACATAAAGACACATGCGTATGCTGCTGTGAGCGTGACATCTTGTTTACATTTTTTTCTCATAATTGCAGGACCATTATTTTGCTTATTGTTGGATTAGATAATGCTGGAAAGTCTTTGATACTGAATCACATTAGCGGCGGTAAATTTAAAAAAAATATAAAATAGACAATCTCTTAATTGCTATATATTGTCAATTTTTTACATAATGTATATTTTTTTTATAGATCCAGATCGAAACGTACTGCCTACAATGGGATTTCGAACGGTATCTTTAAAACATAATTCATATTCAGTGAAAATATATGATCTTGGTGGCAGTTCTCAGATTAGAGCATTGTGGCCTAAATATTATAATGATGTAAGCAACATGTGTACATTTGATAAACGGGTGATAATGGAATCATATATGTAAATGTTGTGATTATTAATAATTAATCAATTGCTCTATCCATCAATGGTAAAAGAAATTTTAATACATTACATCTGTGCATTCTTATTTGACATCTTTTAGATACATGGTCTAATATATGTGGTGGATGCTAGTGATATTTCTCGTCTTGCAGAAAATAAAGTCGTGTTTAATGAATTAATAACACATGAGCATATTTCAACGAAACCATTATTATTGTAAGAAATCTGAATTTGTCGTTACTCTTTCACCTGTGCACATTTGTTTCATATTCACTTTTGATATATACTTATAATTATTCACTTTTTATATACTACTTACTTATTCTTTAATCTTGGAAAAAACAGCTTACATCATTTATATGCGTATGTGATTAAGAATGTTGATGAATGTTGTTGAAAGATGAATTCAGTTTCAATCAAATTTTTATAATGTATGCGTAGACTTGCAAACAAACAAGATTTGAATGGAGCTATTGATGAACTAGATCTGGTTGAAAATTTAGATGTGGAGCATGCAGCCAATGCCATGAAATGTCCGACAAGAGTAGAAACATGTTCTTGTATTTATGATAAGGAACAATCAAAGAGTAATACTGTGGGCATAAAGAATGGATATAAGTAAGTTTATAATCATAGAAAAGAAAGTTTATATATATATATATATATATATATATATATATATACACACATAAAATAAGAATTTTACGATATGTACTTCTCTATTTTGATGATCAGAATTTATCTCATGCAGATGGCTGTTGGATATCATAATAAAGAATTATGCTGCTTTGAATAATAGAACCAAGCAATCAGAAAGTTGTCAACATAAAAGTCTTCTAGAATCCCAATCTATTGCATCAAATACACCATCAAGAATTTCTATACACTCAAATCCCTTTAAACCCATTAAAGATCTTTTGGCAACAAAGGTATAAATTTTATATTAATCCATATAATCATCCTTTATCTATTTTCTTCATCTTAGAAATATATTTCAATATAATATTATCAATGTAATATAATATAATATTATCTATCTCTTTATTTACCATTAATGTATCACTTTCTACAATTTCAGGATGAAGTTTTAATAAATGAAACGTGCAATGGTATGTATTATATAATAAGAATAAATGGTAAAGAAGCTATACATACTCATTTTTTAGATTTATGTAAAAATAATGTTTTAGGTACAAGTGAAAGGAAAAACTTTATAAAAGCTTTTGTGCGAAGAAATAAGACTGCTCCTCTTCCAATTGAACAATCTATTGAATGCGAAAGTCTCTCGCGAAATCTTACGCCTAATGTGGAAACTCTCGCTGGAGAGAAAAGCACACAAACTACAACTACAATATTAGATCCATTAAATTTAAATATTGATTATAGTCCAAGCTATACTAGTACAAATCTAGTCCGTCCATATACAGCACCGGAGAGATCACAACGATTATTAAATAAAATGATAATTAATATTCCTGGACAAGTGCCTCAATGACAGATCTGTAGATTTTATATTCAATTCAAAAGGGACCACACACACATGTGCGCACGCCGCAGATATACTACAATGTCATGATCATAGTCACAGTTACATTTATAAGAATATGAGAATTACATTACTATAAAAAGCATAACATAAAAAGCATAATAGTTACATAATAGCTTTTAGATAAGTAATATTTCCAACATTACTATTTTTATGGTATCGCCTAATTATATATTAACATCTTTTGTATAAAATAATTTATACTATATTTATACTATAATTCAGGTCATCATTTTTGAATTTAGAGAATACAAAAGTTTTATGCAAATATTATGTGTAATAATTTATATATTACTAATATAAAATATAATTTTTTATAAGTTTATAAGTTTGTGTAATATAATAATAATAATGTACATATTATCACAAAAAATATATTTATGAAATATACTTTTTATTATTCAAAAGATATTTTTCTAAACTGATATATCTTATAAGTTGTGTGTGTTAAAATATTTAATGATAGGGCAATCTGACAATTGATATCAAATCAAGTTTGATTATGGTTATTATCTTGCATAACTAATAAATGTTGAATATTACTTTTATATATGAGAATATTACTTTTATATTGTATTGTAATCTTTTTTTTATTGTGATTAAACAAGCAATTAAACAAATAATTGTTGCATATATGATCATGGTATTAAAATAAAAATCAGAAATCCATAAAGAAAAAAGTAGCTATTTAGTAGTTATTTCTTTGGAATCATTTTATATTATTACAATAATTGTGTATTTTATTTAATTTATTCTGTAAATCTGTATACAAGTTTGTGTATAGAAAGATATAAATATATATGTATATATACGATACAAAGCACACATTGAAGTATCCGCTAAAGCTAGTGTATAAAGATGCTGAAAATTGCTTTAATACTCCGGTAACATTATTTCGAAAATTGCAATCTCAAAACGGACTCATGTGGCATATAACAGTGGCTATTCTTAGCACACATTTATCACAATACACAATGTAAGAGACATTGCACAATTTCATTTTGCCCAACATCTTGTACATCTTATATTTTTGAGCATTCAATCACTTTATATTATTTAAATAAGATGTTTACATTGCAAAATGTATGTCTGTGGTAAATTGCAAACATCTTATTGTACAATAAGGAACAATGAGAACGCGATTCTCAAAAATTATATATATATATAAAATTTATATATATTATATATAAAAAATTATATATAATATATATACTGCACATTATATATATGTATATATTTAAAAAATGTCATGCACATTATATACGCATACATATTTTAATTTTTAACTATAGTTATCAAACAATTGCAAGTAGATATAAGGCATATAAATTCGATTATTCTTACTATGAAAGACTTTGTATCACGTTTCGCAAATTTCGTTACCGTTTCTCCTGCGAATACAGCAATTTTTGCTAATATTAATTGATCCTTTTGCTTTTTAAATTCTTATCTATTATATTCATTAAACTAGCGACACAACATTGCAACACTGCTAGCAATTTCAGTGTTTGCAAGCAAGATAATACATCCTTAATTAGTCTAATCACAATGCAATTTATCTTTTAACATTTTTGTAACATTTGAATATTCGTTGTAATTATTAGTAAATTACAACTATTTTATCTTAAGAAAATTATAAATTTTATTTTATTTTATCTTAGAAAAATTATAAATTTATATATTTTTTATATCAGGAAAATAGTTATGCATTGTGAAGATGAATATTGAACATTATTTTGCCAATGATAGGCTATTACTTATTGCAGAGATCATACATACTGTTATAAAGCTTAATATAAAATATATAAGCTTAATATAATTTTATTATATATGTATATATATAATAAAAAAAATAAAATTGTCTTGTATCATATATACATATATATGATTAAAGTGATCATACATTGTATAACGAAATATTCTATTTATGTTTATATATAACATCGATACTATTACAATGAAAAGTATGAAATATCTATTGTAAATTTTTCGAATGTTTCACATTAAGAATTATTGACGAAAAATATTGATTAAAAATAGCTGTGTATCATATATATTTTAATGTAACTGATGAATCTTTTATTTGTACTTATTTATTATATATCTGAATATATGAAATAATAGATTAAATATGACACTATTTTAGAAGCAAGTTTGTTTAGAATCGAAATTCTTGTATATATATGTGTATGTATATATATGCATGATTATACAACTCTGTTTTTCAAAACCCTTATATAAAATATATCTCAAATATGTTAGCATAGAAATAATGCACGGAATCTGCTTTTACTGATGCATTGTCATATTATTAAATATGTTTGACTTGAAGTTTATGGCAAAATGTTGGTATATGGATGTCAACAGAGTTAGTAAATCATAACAAATGCCATTATATATATATATATATATATATATATATATATATATTATACATATATATGTATATATATATATATATTATACATATATATGTATATAATGACACTATATATACATATATGTATGATATAAAGTAAATGTATGTATATATATATCTCTTCATTATATTTTATATATCTTGTCTATTATAAATGCATATAAATGCAATTCATTCTAAATACGTATTTCAAAAAACCAGTTGTTTTTAATGTAACCAGTTGTGTTTAATGTAAAAATATAATAATGTTGTTTAAATATATACTAATAAAAAATAAAAATATAAAAAAATTATAAATGTGGCAGTAATTGTATTTATCTGTTACACAAGAAAGGAACATAATACACAAAAAAATGCGATCAATGATGTAATATGAAAAATGTAATTAAAGAAAAGAAACAAAAAAAAGAATGTATTATTCTGACATATAAAAATGTATCACTGGCACAGATACAAGTACATGAATTTTTTTATATAGCTTCTTATACGATTGACTATACAACTCCATTCATTGGAGATGTAAATTTTACCAAGCGTGTCAGCATAGAAGTGATGCACGGAATCTGTTTTTGTTGATGCATAGTTAGATTATCGGGCGTGTTTGATTCAAAATCTATGGCAACACGCTGACATACAAATGTTAACAAAGTTAACAAATCGTATCGAATGCCATTTTCGCGTAATTCCAAGCACAAAGCTTGTATAAACCATGATCCGCGGCTAGTGTTTCTCCAGGAATAGTAACCTATTAATTTTAAAAATTGTCCTTGAATCATTAGAGATATTTAAGATTGATATTTCAATCAGTAATTACATTAGAAACCTCAAATTTGATTGATTTGTAATATATATAATAGAAGGAAAGTAAAAAAAGTGTGATAAATAAATGTAAATAGTTCTTTAGTAACCTAATACTCTTTTATAGATAATATAATACCTGGTATGGTTGAATAGGCAATCATAAAGTCAGCTTGAGAAGGAATACGATATGTCGCGGTTGGTAATCCATCTGTTTCTGTTCGTTCCTTGAAAACTATGCCCGGATCTAGTCTGTCACCCTGACAAGCTTGAATGAAAAATAGTTTAGGTTTTCCAGCGAGAGTCGGACATCTATCGGCAGTGAAGTGATGCCAGAGAGAATCTGCTTTATATGAAGTGTCATGAGCGTAGAGTTGACCGAGTTCGCCGTGGCTTAATACGGCTATTATCAAGCAATCATGTTCAGAATGATCCATGTCTGCAACTGCAAAAACAATAATTTATAATTATTTTATAAAATATTTTTATCATATTGTTAATCAATTTGTATTTGTCATATTGTGTTTTTATACATCTTTTGAGGTTTTCTTCATTTTAATAAACATTCTTTAGAGAATATAATAATTTTTTATAAATAAAATATCTAGTGTGTAAATAAACATGCAAATGAACAAGTATGACTCACCTCTTTCTAACTGTTTTACTATATCTCTATGAGTAGAATTATGGAGATCATTTACTTCAAATCCAAGATTTTTTAGTGTATTAATAAGATTATCGCAGTCTACATTTGTACCAGCGCGAGATTTGAGATGCGAGATAGTGAAAAATTCATGATTAAAGATTAAAGCTATACCACGTTTAGGATGATTCATTTTATAATGTGTAGCATAACGTTCAGTTGGTGATGTTTGTAATGATGCAGCAGGAGTTATATTGTTTCTGCAAAAACAATTTTAATGTGTTTTAAATTTTTTGGATTAGATATAAACTATATATTTTGTGGAATTATATCCTAAATAATTTATATATAGTGTCTACTATATATGATTCAATCTTAAATTTTGCAGTGTATTTTTATTAATTTTAGTTGTATATTTTATTAAATATATAGAATTATTAATAATATTTCATCAATTTCAATAAAATTTTGTATATAATTTGTAAATTAATATAATTCTCAGAATCAATATTTGAATAAGATAAAATATATCTATAATCTTAAAATTTGTAATGTCATTATTAAAATTTTTTCACAATACTAATAAAATCTTACAAATAAATCATTACTTGATTAAATATACTAATATATTGATATCATTTTATGATTATATGTATATTTATTGTATATTATTACAATTAATTCATATAGTCTTCAAAAGCTAGCGCAAATTTCTGAGAATAATTTTCTAATTCTTTATAACTTCTTATAAAAATTTTGGTAAGTATGTGTAATAAATTGCAGTTTATCAATTTTATTGCCATTTAGAGATATGATAGGGGAAGCTGTTTTGAATAATTCTCCTGCAAAAATTAAGTTGAGAACATTGGTTTAGAAAATATAATAGAATATTCTTGGTTCAATACAATTGAGTTTTGATTTCAGAGACATCCAATATATTGATTTTATTGATTATCTTATCAACCATATTGACTAAATTATACCTTGTCTCTCAATGATCTTTATCACTAGTAATAATCTTTGCTTTAACAATAAACATTTTTTTCACATCATTACCACAATACTTTCGATATTAATCGTTATATTAAACATATCACATTGCATTAAATATTAAAAGATTGTAAAATTATAGAAAAACTAAACATGCTCACACACAGAAACGTAATACGACGTAATTAATGACAATATGCGAGCATCTCTATTATGACAGTTTAGAATATAGTAAACAAATATGCATGTATCGCGTGAGAATTTGATGCAGATTCTTCTCATACCTGCTGATTCCTAATGATCCGAATGCATCGCCAACATCGTCGCTATCTCGTTGTTGTTTCTCGCCATTATTGATATTATTGGGCTCGGTAGAACACATGGCGTTGCGTCTTGTGTTCGATTACAGGGGAAAAAACTTTGTTGCGCAGTTTTGTGACCGTTGTGTTCGCAAATAAACTCGAAAATAACTTTACGCAGCAGCGTAAAAGCACGTCCGTAAAGGAAAACGCGCGATAATACTTGTTGATAACTGTATGATTCACAATCACAGACAGCCTCATATGATGCCGTAAAGGTGACTATACTATACATGGCAGATGGCAGTATCAAGCATCGAGCGTCTGCGCAGAAAACCATTATCAGTACCATTGCGCAGGATTCCGAATGAATTAGATTCGAATTTCTACGACGAATAACAAACATGTAAATTACACGAGATAGAAAGAATTAGATATTCTAATATATAATACTTATTAAAATTAATATTTATTAACATTATACGTACTACTATTATTAGTAAATTAAATATATTATAAAACATTACTACATCAATGATAAACATTTTTTAATTTAATCTGTGTGTTTTAAAATCTAATCAAACACTAAAGAATTAATTTTCATGAACTTTTCTTGCATACTTTTTATATAAACACAGTAATATACAGAGTTCTATTTTATATATCTCTTATTATATGCATTTAGCACGGAATAGAACCACAAATCGTGGACATAGCATGTTACCCTTTGAGAAGTTTTCTGGTCATGTAGTTCAATGTCCACGTTTTGTGAACATAGAGGCGCTTCAAATACGGGTTCCATCTTCCACCTAAATCGGGAGCATGGCCGCTCTGAGGCTTCTCTAACCATAAGATAGATTTTGGATAATGTAGTGAAAATATAGAAGAATTATTTTCTGTTTTTAATTTTATCTGATTATTGTTTATTTAAAAACGAAATCAAGATTAAATTAGAGAACATGTCTATGCTTGCAGAACGTCGACAAAAGCAAAAATGGAGCCTTAATCCACGAGGAAAATGGTGGTCCGAAGGTATATGAGCATTTAAAAATATTTCTAAAATTTCAGAATGAAAATATTCTCGATTTATTTGCATATTATGATTTTTTTGCATGTTGAATGTTACATGTATTTATTTACATGTTTACATACATTATATACGAATGTTTAATCTTGATCCACAACTCTTTGCTAACATGTTATTATTGAAACAGATTCGAATAAGTTTGGTCAGAGAATGTTAGAGAAAATGGGTTGGACAAAAGGAAAAGGGCTTGGTGTCAACGAGCAAGGCATTACAGAATATATTAATGTTTCACATAAGAATGATACAGCAGGTAATTAAAAAAAAAAAAAAATATATATATATATATATATATATTTTTTATATAAAAACTATTTCATTGATATTATGGTTAATTAAAATTTTATTCTTTTTTTAAGGTATAGGATATGACAAGAATGTAGACATATGGGTGGAACATCAGGAGAAATTTAACAATTTGTTGAAACAACTTCATGAGAATGGAAATCAAAACACTACTCAGAAATTAGAAACAGAAGATGATAGATCAATGGAGCTTAAGTCTAAACAAAGTCATGCTCGTGTGCAGTAAGTATTTAAATCATTATTATAATGTAGCTTCTCTATAAATATAATATGTAATTATAAGACATATGAATTTGAATTTATATATAAAAATTCTATTGTCTTACCTAGAGATATTTGCATATTATGATAATTTTATACTTATAAAAATATAAATTTGTTTCCAGTTACAAGAAATTTACACAAAGTAAAGACATAAATAAGTATAAACCTAAGGACTTAGCAAATATACTTGGCCAAAAAGAATTAATGAATACAATTCAAGTAAAGACAGAAAAAGATGATGATAGTTATGAAAAAAAATCTATTAGCATCGAAAAAAGTAATAATGGAATTGTCACAATTAATAGTGGTAACATGACTGATTATTTTGGGCATAAGTTAAACTATGACAAAAACTTTTCATGTAATATGATTGATAATCAAGCAACTAACTCTGAAAATGAAAACAAGCAATATGCTGGTTTTGGATTTGTATCAAAAACAGAGAATATGTTGTCTAATGAAGTGTCAAGAGATTTTAACGAGAAGAATAATTATGCTTTTGATAATCCTTGTTTAGGATTTAATAGTCCCACAAAAGTTATATTATCTAATGCTGATAGTACTTGCAAAAAGTCTGCAAAAAAGAGGAAAAAGGAACATGAAAATGATACTTTGCATGCCACTAAAGCGGAACACAATGCTCGAAAGAAATTAAAAACTGAAATTATTAATGGAGACTGTAAAAATGGTTTGACAAATCCAGCTCTTAATTTAGATATAAATCCTGAGGAGGAGTGTAATGGTAGAGAATTTGAAGTATCCAGAGCACAATTTGGTCTAGAAAATTGTGGTTTAGATTTGACAGATGAAAAAAACGACAAGAAATGTGTAACATTTAATGATCATATTATATTATATGAGTATAATGTAGATTCCACCAAAAAGAAAAAAGGAAAAGCGACATTGGATAAATTTGAAGTTGAAAATAAGAAACACAAAAAAAAGCGGAAACAGGAAAACATAACACCTGAGTCAAATGGGTTTATTAATGAGGCATTAGACATAGAAACAGTCTGTGAGGAAGTTAATGATAATCAATTGAATGAACATAAAAGTAAAAAAATTAAGAGAAGGAAGATATGTAAAATATCTAATCTAGAAACGATACAAGAGTCACCAGAAGGAGAAAAAGAAATAATTGAGATTAAGGTAGAATCAGAAGATGCATTGGATACCAGTATTGTTAAAAAAGAGGAAACAGATATTATAGATAAAAAGTTAAAAAAAAAGAAAAAAAAGAAGACTAAAGTTGAAAACATTATTGTAGTTAATACAAATGAGAAATTAGATGAAACCAAAGAGATAATTGAAGGTAAAAAAACTAAGAGATGTAAAAGTAAACAAGAAGAAATTGTAAATTCTAAGAAATATAAGAAAGAAAAGAAAAAAAATAAGGAAAGTTATAAGATTGAAAAATGTGCTATTAAAGTTGAAATAAGCAATGACGAACAAAATATTGAGATATTAGATCAGACAAATTTAAAGCAGCATCAAAATTATTCGACCATGGATGAAAACAAGGATACAACAGAAATAGAAGTAATGCCAGTTGTTGAAATTAAAAATGAAAAAGAAGAAATGGCATCCGTAAAAGATAAACAAAAAAAGAAAAAGAGTATTTATAATGAAGATTGTTTCAAGAATGAATGTGATATAAAGAAGGAAATTTCTGACAAAGAAAATATTGGCAAAGAGCAAGAGTCAGATTTCAAAAAATTAGAAAAAAAAAATAAAAAACACAAAAAATCAAGAGAAAAAAATGTATCTGATATTGACGATTCTATCGACTCTAATCTAGAAATTGTGAATGCAAACACTATCAAGCAGGAAAAAATAGAAGAATCCACTCGTACATCTTTAAAGAAAAGTAGTATAGTCGATTCTATCGAAAATATAATGCATAGTCCATGGAGTGCAAAAGCAAGGATGTCTAAAAAGATGTTAACACTTTTTCAAAATAATGAACTTTTAGATTTTCCTGGTTCTAACATTCGTGATATAAAAGGATATGGTGTAGATATTGAATGCTAATTATAGATTTTATAGAATTTGTACAATAATTTTGACAATGAGACTCGATGATAGATGTTACTTGCTAATAAAGATTATGTGTTTTTTGTGTTAATACAACAACATATATATATATATATATATATATATATATATATATATATATATATAAATTTACTTATAAATGCAAATTTTTTTAAAAAAGTGTGTATTTAAGTAATATATATTTAAGTAATATAATTTTAATATTGTATGTGTATGATATATATTTTTGTATCAATTTAAATAATAGAAAATTATTTCTACATATATAATTAATTATATTATTTAATGTTTAGGAGTGTACTTAACATACTTAACCAACATATATAAATAATATATAGTGTACAAGATTTATATTAAAAGAAGAATAATTTTATTAATCAATTTTTAACTTGCAATTGTAACTTTGCATAATATATCACTGTACAAACTAATTAGAATTATTTTTGTGTTATTATTTTAATGTATTATCTCTTGTTCTATATTATCATATATATGACTGACATCTTCTATACTTAAAATTCTATTACGAATTTGAGATACAGCTTTCAATTCCAAATCACTTAATTCTATCATAGTGTGTGGTATATAAATTTCTTCTACTGAAAGCACGCTATATTCCAGATCTTCTAATAGACTTCGAACTTTATTTAAGAGTTTTGGTTCACATTTAAACTATAATAAAAAAATATATTAGTGTGAATATATTAAAATTGTAACTTTCATATTAGAAAATACTTTTTTATAGTTTTGTTAAAATATTTAAATATTTGATACAAGTACAAATAAAGTTTATATATATGTATATAAACTCCATTATTTAAATATTTTAAAAATAAGTTACATACATATATATGTGTACATATAATATACCTGGAAATATTTAACATCATTGTCTTCAAATTCTTCTACATCTTCTGCACCAACATTAATGGCATTCTCCATGGCATGTTCCAAATCACCTTTCTTTTCAACTATGATATTACCAACATGAGTAAACATACTCTTCATAGAATCTTCTGTGACTTTCCCACTATTAATTGTGAATAATAATGAATATAAAAGATATGTTTAGAAATGTTACATTAATCTATTTAGCATTATAAAATTTATATTAGTTTTTATATTAAATATATATAGACTAAGAATGTGTATATACACATACAAGATTAATCAAATAATGTTTTCCTAACATATACACTATTTTAAAACATTTTGAATATATAAATTATATATAAAAAATATATATAATAATTATCATACCAAGTTTTTTTTAGTTTTGTATGAAGTAACGTCATAAGTGCTTTTACATTATCTGTTGTATAACGTACAAGTGCGACATAACCACTTGGACCATGAATTTCTATTACACCTGTTCGATTCTTGTTTTTGCGTGCTTCCATTTTCTCAAGGAAAGTATTTATTGATGCAACAGGCATATTTACTTTTTTAGCTTGTTCAATGAGTTTTGCTAATTTTATATTATGACTAGGCCTTGTGATACCAGTCTCTAAAACACATAAATGGATTTTTGGAACTTACACAAATATTTAAGATATACCATATATGAAATATATTAGTTTTGCATCTAAATATATTACATAACATATGCAATAAGAAGAATAATATATTTTTTATCATAACATTTAGATAACATTTATATATTAGAAGAATATGTTTATATCTCTTAATCATAAATAATATGTATATTTTATATGTTAGAACTTATTATCCAGCACATATATATAACTATCATAATAAAAATACCTTGTATAGCAATCTGCATTTTTAGTTTGAGCTTATAAAACACCACCATTCTTTCGTGATCATTTTCTGCTTTTATATGTCTTATGTTCGACCATTTGTTATGACCGGCAAATCTTTTATTACCTTTAGATAAAAAATAAATATATCTATTAAACAATAATTTATTCAATATTTCTGTCATTTTTAAGGAAGGTTATCATTTCATGTTACAATAGATATTTAAAACCATTCTGTCAATATTCACGGGTCGAATCATGTCTAGATAGGAAACACATTCCTGGATTGAATATAACTAGAGACCCTCTATATGTCCATCATGAAAATGTGTAAACACCAAAAAGGAAGGTGCCATTTCTGTCGCCTTCTGATTTATTCTATTTCTCAGGCAATTAACAATGAAATGAAGAGAAATATGTATGTTTTCTTGATATTATTATAAGTTGATCTTACTCGAAACATTTATAACTCTAGCGTTGACTTTAATTGACTCTCACAATCAGTTTAAAAAAAGAGACGAATCGTTAGTCAATAACAATTTCGATTAAGCCAAGTATTTCCAGCCACAAAAATTGAAATTAAATTGAAATATATAAATATGTAAAAATATATTGTGATAATAATATATAATATAATTTATTGAAAACTATTAATATCATATAGGATCATGATAGGATATATATATATATCATATGTCAAAATTCGATATATTACATAATGTCAAATTGACACATCTACAGTATCTAAAGCAATTTTTAAAAAACCCGCGAAATGTAGCTTTGACTGTTCTTGACCACTTAAATGTTAGGAATAATTGTGAAATTTTTGATTTGCATTCTAGAAACGATATTAATTGCTACAAATAGAACACACAAGTGCAAGTACATACATATGACAGAGATCTTTCAAATTTCGACTCACGTCGCGCTTACGTCTGAGCTTTTGAATCTCCCGCCCCCTCGCTCCCCTCACGGATATTGACAGTTGATGCGCCGTCTATACATTTCATACGTCTATGCTTGAGTTAATCATTGCCGGTATGGCGCGAGAATCAGAAGCAACGGTGCGGCGGATTCCATCCACATAGGAGCCGTGTCAAAGGAACCAGCGAGTACAAAATTAACGCGATTAGGTCGACGGTGGACTCGCTCGGGGGTAAGTAAAAAGAATGGCATCGAATGAGTCGACTAAATTTAGAAGGCCGAGGGTGAAGGCGCTTAACGAACCGAGAGAGGGTCGATACTTAGCTAGCGCAATCTTCATCTTAACGTTCCACTCGATGCCCGCGATGCCGGGATTATTTCATCCTTGTTAGTCGAAAATTAAATAAAAACGATGGAATGACTTTTAAGTATGTTACAAATAGAATGCACTCCTAAGGGGTGTAATAGATTTTGAAAAGTTTTCTATGTATTAACGTATCGCATATATTGCGATTCTCGCGTATCGTTAAAGATATCGATCGATATATTTTTTTCTCGATATCTTGTAAAGAGATCTATGATCAGTTATTCATTGTAACGATTATTTGAACGCATTTACATAAATATGTACATATATTCAAGTCTTCTTTATTCATGCTAATGATGTTAATTTGACGATATTTACGATCTAACAATAAACACATCTGTGGATTAAAATTATCTATTAAATAATAATGGAGATTTTCATAAGACAAATTTGTCCCTGAAATCTATTTCCTCAGAATTTTAGACCTCTTCCCTCTTCCCTCTTCCCCTTTTGCCCTCATCATCAACTGATGCGCCATCTATATGTTTTATAGGTCTATGTTTGATTTAATTACAACTGGTATGGCGCGGGAATCAGAAGTGAAAAGCAACGGCGGACTCCATCCATATACGAGCTGTGTCAAAGGAATCAGCGAGTACAAAATTAACGCGATTAGGCCGACGATGGACTCGCTTGGGGGTAAGTAACAGTTTGTTAATTATAAATGTCAATGGTTCACGGGAGCTCTATTTAGAGAAAATATTATATCGACTATTGCATTTTTAACGGTACTCGCATAACACGATGTGATTGTTCATTGATTCTGAATGATGAATAATTAGATATTTTAATCGGTCCAAATTATAATAAAGAAAACACTGAATATATAATAATTTCATTACGAATATTTTTCTATGCATATATTCGAATTATAATGATTTAATACCATTAGCAAATTGCGTGGCAGATTTGTGTAGATTTCCGTCATCATGAAGGATTTAATTAATAGTCAAGAGTGTATGCATATAATCCGATCAATCATTCTCCATCTTATCAGACCGTTAGTCATTCGAGATGGAGTACAAGTGCTCAACTCTGATTACAAGTCGAGCATTTATTTTCAAGGACTTATCACTTAATGGAACAAAAATAACTAAATCGAAATAAATAATCATTCATTAATAATGCTTACACAAATATACAAATATGACTATTTAAAATAAATAAAATTGCTAATAGAGTGAGTCAATGATTATTGATTTTTATCTTTGATTTCTTTTAATCAATGTGTTTTATACGAATCTGTCGGTATTGAAGAACCATTATTAAATATAATTGAAATAAAAAATATTTTGATTTTTACGAAGTTGGAGTAGGCAAGAGAGATATAAAAAATCAAAAAAAGATTTTAAATAATCGATGATTATAATATGTAGGTTTTTTAAATATTTTTGAAACATTTTCTGTATAAGAAAAAAAATGATCATCTTAAAAATTACTCATCTTAATTCACAATTATTTCATTAAGTGATAAGTACTCATCATAATAAACCAAAAAGTGTTAGTATACAAAAATCTAAAAATTAACAATTTTTGAATTGTATAAGAAAAATTTTATTTTATTATAATGAATATTCAAAGCGTTCTAAGTCATTCAATATGTTTTCTTATTCAGATTAACGTACATTTAAAAATGTCAAGTTTTTTTGTTCTTTGATAAGAGTTTTAAATTTGATATTTTAATTCATCTAAGATATTAATTGAATTTGAATGTATTATATTTTAATTAGCCCCGCAAAAATCTATCTAAATTTAATGAACGCGAAGAAACTATTCAATTTATATAGATAAATTTATCTCGCGACCAAATCCTTTCATGAAATTTATTATTCAAATTTAAATATTATATGAGTTTTACAAGATATTTGAGATAAGTGTTTTAGTAACATACTTCATACGGAAATTGTTAGTTTTTAGACTTGTGTATATTAACACTTTCTTGTTCCATTTCGCTGTATATCATTTAATGAGTATTATATATATATATATATATATATATATATATATATATATATTCAAAATTTGAACTGTTACTTTTGAAACATCTTTTATAGAGAAAAAAAATTTTTTTACAATCAAAAATTGTGATAATACAGACTCTACATTTTTTATATAGAATATAAACTGATTTCGATACATATATTTTAAACCTACAATTAGTAATTTTTTATCAAATATTTTTTAATACGTTCATACTGAAAAAAAACGTAATATAGAACTTACAGAAAAATTGATCTTTTTTTATCAATAATTGAATAATAATTTTGACCTAAATTATTCTATTTCGCGCAGATTGACACGTTGTTTTTCATTGGAATAAAAAACTTCTGGTTTAATGACCGTGGTGCGAGTCTCTTCGTCTTCTCGCTCTGATTTTTGTCGGATCCTTCCGTCCGTTTTCTTCCCTTATGTGTGTACATCAATGTCGGTGCGTATAGGTGTACACGTCGTGTTCAATTTTATGAAGGAGAACGTGTGGGGGTGCCGACGGGGGTGGCGACGTTTAATAAAGGGCGTGGGCATGTGTACGTGTGTATATGCTAGGGGCGCTAGTTAGCACGGCGCTTGGCGCCGACGACGACGTCGCCGTCTGGACGCGTATAGTCTCCTCTCGACGTTCTGCACCGACGACCTCGTCTTTTAAAGCACACACTGACGCGCAAACGATGCTTCTTTAAACAGCGAGCCAATGTAATACGAAATAGAGTAACTTGGCGTTTAGGTGACGCGTATATCGATACACTGTGAGCATTACTGAAAGCTGAAAAAGTAAGAAATTTAATAAATACTTATCAGCAAGATGTCGTGCACACGAATCTGGGTTGGATTATGATATAATACGATTACTGTATAGCAGAATAAATAATGAAGTTTCTCTTGTTTACGTCTTGAGCTTATAATGTGTATAATAAATAAAATTTAAAAATAGGCTCACTCCCTGAGATGAAAATAAATCATGAGAAAAGTATTTTAAAATCATGTATTTGAATCTTCACGCGATAAGATACGATTTTACTAAACATATTTGTTACATTTTTTTTATTATAATATCGTAATTTGTGATTATATAAAATTATATTTTTCGAAATTTTATTTTTTCATAATTGATCCTTTTTCGTTCATTTATCTCAATTTTTTTCGAGCAATGGATTGATTTCTCTATAATTTTTAAAAACGTTTATCCATATAAATTATTCAGTTCCTGGATTACGATAAAAATTCAATATTAATTGAAGTTTCGTTCCATTATAATTATGAATGTTTGCTCGATCACTTGATATATCTATATTTTCACTTGAGTAGGTATCTGATATACTATTGCATACTTCTCTTTATTAGCCGTCAGTGGTAAAGAGAGAAGGTCGGTCGGTTTGCACGTAATCCAAGTTAACATTCGGGGGGATTAGAACTTCCTCCCACCCGTTCTCATTCGTATATTCTACCCCGCTTTGCCCGACCCTTCACCGCAGTTCACCGTATTTAGTCAGCAGTAAAAGCTTTAATGAAAAGGATCTTGGTTTCACGAGGCACTAAAATCGGTTATATTGGCAGTGAGAAGAGAGGTTCGAAGGCCCTTTATTGAATAAATGCGTTTCCTTCTCCCCTTTCCCCTCTGATAGTGTCTTTTCGCCCTTCTCCCTTCCTATCTCGCGTTTTGAACTATCAGAATTTTGGATTAAAAATATTTCGAAATAACGCACTATAACTGTTCGAAAAGAATATCTAATTGAAAATTCGCAGTTATCATATGTTATAATATATAGAGAAAGAAACAACATCTGCAACAACGTGTCATCTTCTATTTTTACAAAATTTAAGCACACCCTTTGATCGCAAAGTGTTAACTTTTTAAAGATTCGTGACAAGATAAATGCGTCAAATTGCGATTTGTCAGCTAGTTTCTAATATAATTGCTCGCGCCGGTATTATCGCACATCGTGTCGT